AGAGAGAGAGAGAGAGAGAGAGAGAGAAAGAGAGAGAGAGAGAGAGAAAGAGAGAGAGGACTCATGATGGAAAAGGGAATGCTACCCGACTACTTACGCACGCACGCACGCACGCAAGCAAGCAAGCAAGCTAGGCTAGGCTAGACGGGCTATGTAGGTACCTTGAGTGTTGCATTCTTTTATTTTCTATTCTATCCTGCACAGTGGTGTGTTTGTATTGTACTTGTACTGTACCGGTACTTGTCTTGTCCTTGTATGTTAATCGGATGGTATTCCGCTATCGCGCTCAAGGATCCCATCAATGGTTCATATCTCGTCGCAATTCTCGTCAATCCATCATGCCCGTCCATCCCATATGTACCCACTCACTCACTCACTCACTCACTCACTCACTGACTCACTCACTCAGACTATCCCTCCGTCCCCGGCGATACCCCCCACCATTCCGCTTCCTCCTCCTCTCATCCACATAGTCGCTCCCGCCCGTCGAGCTCCCCAGCCCCGGAATCGGGTGATGGTAAATCTTCGTCCCGACATCCACAATCTCCTCCTCCTCCTCCTCGTCGTCGTCGTCCAGAAACCCCCCCGGCACCTTCTTCACCGGGCTGCGGCTCTGGTGGCGGCGTCGCCGCTCCCGCTCCGCCCGCTCCGCCCGCCGCGCGTGCCGATCGCTCACCTCGGATGACCCGACCGAGGAAGAAGTCGCGGCGAGGTCGCCGTCGTCTCCGGCGCGGAAGCTAAAGTCGCGGCGCTGCGCCGCCCGCCCTTTCTCCTGCAGCTTCTTGGCTTCGGCCTTGATGCGGGCATCTTCCTCTTCCGTGCGGGGCCGGCGGCGGCTGGGCGACCAGAAGCTGTTGCTGCTGCCCTCGCTCATGCTCGGCGCGACCTTGCGGATGCCGGCGGGGCCACCACCCGCGCCGTCCGGGCGCTCCTTCTTGCCGCCCTTGGTCGGGGTGTTCGTCGGCGTCTTCTCGCGGTGCGAGAGCAGCTCCGAGGTAGCCGTCGACCCGTCGTGCGTGTGGCTCCCCCCAAAAGAGCTGCCGTCCGGCTGCTTGTTGAGACCCCCGACCCGAGCCGGTTTCTCGTGGCGGTAGGCACGCATGGCGTCCTGCACCTCGAAATCCACCTCGGCCCCCGTGAGCGCCGTGCCAGCCTCGCTCGCCGCCGCCGCCGCCTTCCTCCCCTTCTTGCCCTTCTTCACCTGGCCGTGTCTCGCCTCCCCCATCTCACTCGCCAACGTGCTCCCCCCCAGCGAACTCGTACCCTGGCTCCCGGCCTCCTCGTCCAAGTCCTTGTAGCGCTTCATCCCCTTCTTGCGACGCCCCCCCCACCGGCTGCTCCCCTTCTCCCCATTCTCTCCGTGCACGATGCTCCCGCCGCCAAAGTCCGTGCTGGCCGTCGCCCCGCTCAGCGTCGTGCCGTTGGGCCCCTTGCGGCGCAGCACCGTCGACTTGTAGTCGTCCCAGTCGTCCTGCCGGAAGTAGAAGCCGCCGTTCTTGGCCCAGAAGAAGAACCAGATGCCCGTGATGACGAAGCTGGCCCCGATCAGCCCGAGCATGATGAAGACCACCTTGTTGGGAATGCTGTCCGGGGAGGTGACCCCGCCGCGGGCCTCTTCGACGGTGCGCCGGAGGAGGGGGTGCGAGCGGGCCTCATGGGCGAGCTGGCTGAGCGTGCTCAGGATCGTCGAGGCTGGCGTGGGTGATGGTGAGGGCGAGGCGGAGCGGGTGAGGAGGGAGGCGAGGTAGGCTCTGAGAGAGGAGTGGTCGGCCAGAAGAGGTGCCATACTTGCGAGCTGGGGAAAGGAATGCCCAGGATCACGATGTTAATGGTGTGCGAGGCAGACGGATGTGCCGATCCCGTCACTTTCTCGATGGCGGTGCCAGCCTTACAGAAACGGCGATATCGTGTTCGTGTGTGTGTTCGTCGTAGAGTCGATGATCTTGTGTGTTCTTTCTTGAGTGGGTGTAGGGATTGAAGAAGAAAGGAAGTGCGAGCGGGCTGCGTATTCCTTCCTGGAGAAGCCCAGGAGGGGTTGGGGTTTGTGAATTCAGATGGCGCAGTCGGATCTTTATTTACATAGCAACAGCATGGCAACAGCGGCCCGGCTCGCTACCGCTTAGCGTCATCACGACCCCTGGACCCACCAAAATCAACAAGGCACATCGTCACTCAGATATGATTGCTTTACGCGGTATAGAGATTGGATGGGTGTCAAATCTCCGTTATAAAACTATCCGAGTTGATCCTAACGATCCTGTGGCTATCTATCTACTGCTATTTTGTCTGGTCGCCGGTATCCATGTCGATACACGCAAGCCAAGAAGATTCCCCCCCCCCATCCCCCCGTCCCTATCACCGTTCACGCATACCATACACCTGCACTAGATCGCTTCTGTGTAGATCTACTTCCGGCGCCAATTCCATGCGGACGGCGTAGAGCCGCACAGAAAGAGCATTCCCTGTAGAGGTACATGCCATTGCTAGCAAATGCGCATGTCTTTTCGATACCCAATCCAGCCAAAAGAATTTCCTTAATCCATCCGGTCCCCGAACGAACCCCCCCAAACCCAAATGCAAAAGAGGTATCCATCATAATTCATACATTCGTGCAATCATATCGAAACAACACTCTCTCTCTGTAGATCAAAAGTCAAAGGCAAAAGCAAGCAAATCTCGGGTGCTCCGGGGGTATATAACTTTTTCTCTTGTGGACTTTTGGAAGGGGAAATAACAAAAAGGAGAAAGTGAGAGCCGCCCGTGGTACTTTTGCACAGAGATACAGGAGAAGCGAAGAGAGTAACGAAGATCATGCCCGGATACCAGTCGCTAAAGTCCGCCGGAAGAAAAGAAAAAGAAAAATGGAACTGAGAGAAGAAGAAAAAAAAAAAAAAATCACACGACGCTTGCAAATGAAATATTCTCAGAGGTAGTTGTCGTCACGTCCTCTGTCTCTCTCTCGCTCTCTCTCCCGCTGTCTCGGGTAGTCGGGCGTTTGCGTATACGACTCGCCCGAGCTGCTCATCCTCGATTGGCCGGAAGGTCGGCTCACTCGACTCTGGCGGTCTTCGATCCGCCGGGCGCCGTACTCCGAACTGGAGCGCTCACTACCATTGTGGAGGCTCTTCTGTCGCTGGACGCGAATCTCTCCCCCGTCGGCGCAATCGATCTGAGTTCCACCGACCATCACCCGGGCCTGGCCCACAACCTTGATGGTGACGTTCTCCTCGTTATCTCCACTCCCACTTCTCGTGGTCCGCGTCGTGGCTGATTTCTTATAGTCGCTATCGTCTCGGCTTGCACTACTCTTGGTGCCCCGGCTACTGCCCCCGTGCTTCCGTTGCTGCCTCCGCAACAGCTCTGCAGTCAGAGGGATGGAAGGCCCGCCGCCAACATCATCCTGATAGGCTTGAGCCTGGTCGAGTTTGGCATCATACTCACCACTGGCTCCTTGATACGCCTGAGCTTGGCTCATCTTGGTCTCGTATGCGCTCTTGGGCCCACGAGTGCTCTTGGTCTCGTGTCTTGCCTCATGGCCACTCGTCGCCGCGTATTCACTCGAGCCATCTGCCGACGACGGGATACCATGCGAGCTTTGTCTCCGGCGGCTACTGTTGGCTGCCTCCACCCTCACACTCTCCGTGTCATACGATACCGAATGTCGACTGGGACTTGGTCTTCGAGCCCGAGGCGCGACACGTTCCTCCGATCGATCCTCGCGCTCGTAGTAGCTTCCCACGGCCGGGTCTGACTTGGGGTCAACGTGGTACTCGGTCGATCGCCGGAGGATGCCCGTGGGACGGGGCGGGGGTGGCATGGCGATGCAGTCTGCTTCGGCTTTGCTCATCTTTGCTGTGGAGGAGGGCACCCGTATGCTACCCCTCCTCTCGGATTTGCGTACGGTCGCCCCGTCTGCTGCCGACGCATACCCGTCGTCGTGGTAGGCGGGATCATAGTCACTGCGAGGTCGACTGTCGCGACCTCCGAACACCGATTTCGTTCGCGGGTTGAGGTCCGAGGCCCGTGGCTCAAAGGCTGTCGAAGATCGTGGGATCGGGTCGAACCTCGCCGAAAGGGGTCGTGAACTGGCTCTCGGGGCAAAGTACCCATCCCCTTGAGCGGCGGATGGCAGCTGGGATTGCGGGGACATGGTGTATTGCGGCGCTTGAGAGAACTGCTGATGCTGCGCATACTGATACTGTGGTGGCTGCACGTACTGCGCTTGCTGTTGAGGGGCTGCGTATTGCATGTATGATGAATCTGGCGTAGGAGGAGGGTACGAAGGGGTAACGACTGGTGGCTGTTGGTAGTAGGCAGACATGGATAGTGGCGGACCTTGGGTGTAGCCTCCTCCACCGGCCGTCTGCACGCTGATCGGCCGTGGGTAGGTTTGTGACGTTAACGCTCGCGGCCGAAACGGGATGGGTTGCACATCGTTCGATGGGCGGGTGGCCGTTGTTGGGGTGGGAATCCCAAAATTCCTCGGGTCTCTGGAGCTCCTGGGTCGTTCCACCTCGCGCGATATGTGATTCTCCTGCGAAGACGACGCTCGACTGGACTTCCCAGGGGTTTTCGTGCTGGCGCTCAAGGATTTGCGGCGGTCCGGTTTCTTCACCTCTCTCTGGATCTCGACATGTTGCGCCGTGGCCATGGCCTTCTGTTCGAGAACATCTGCCGCGTCGCTCTGCGACCTCCTCTGCTTGGTACTCTTCCGCCTGTCGCGCACCGGTTCTTCATGGTAGTAGACCTTGGGCTTGACGGCCGCGGTCTTGCGCGATCCTCGGACTGGCCTCCCGCTGGAATCGTCGACATCCTCTACATAGGCCGGCCTGGCCTTGTCGGAGCCCATGCCCTGCGTGGCGTCGACTCTGTGCGTCGACAGCAGGGGGGGGAGGAGGGGAGGGTGTGCAAGGGAAGAGGAATCGGCGGTCCGCCTGGATGCTATCTGGACGTAGTTGTCCTGCGGTGGCTTCGGAGGGTAATGGTGTGTTGTGTGGTGTTGAGTTGTGTTGTATTGTGGTATGGGATGGGATGTGGGATGGGATGGGATGGGATGGGATGGGATGGGATTCTGGTAATGGAGGAAAATAAATCGTGGAAGGATGCTGCTAGCGGGGGACCAGGCGGCTGTGGATGGATTGCGGGAGATTTTCGCTGCTATCGATAGCCGCCGGTGGGTGAACGAACCAAGACCACGGACACCGGCCCCAGGTGAGACAAGACCTTCCAGAAGTCACTGGCCGATCGGGGGTGGGTGGAAGGGGGTCGAGGTAGTAGCGGTCTAGATATAGATGTATACTCCGGATGTATATATATATACATACATATACATATATATATATATATCTCTCTCTCCTTCCCCCTCTCTCCTTCGCGGGGTCACGCGCAGCGAGTATTTGTACTTCTGGTCCTTGTCCGGTCATCAGCCCGCCGGGCGAGGCGAGTAAAAAATGTCAACCGGGAAACGGAGATGAAGCCTTGAGGTGGGGATCTTTTTTTTTTTTATTTTTTTTCTTCCCTCTCCCTGTTTGCGGATCCTTTTTGCTCCTCCTCTCGATCTCCTCGTGCTCTTGTTGGCCAGTTCCGTCTCTGGGTTGCGATTCAGGTTCAGGTTGGTTCAGGTTCAGGCTAAGCGTCGTACCGGCGTTGGGTAGCAATTGCCCTTGCGTAGAGTGGGGATGAGAGAAAAGTCAACGGCGAGGCGAGCATGGCGATGACTCCGCAGAGTCGGTTGTGGGTAGTGTGATGGGATGGGGGGAGGGGGGATGTGGTGGCAGAGGAGGGATCAAAAAGGATGAGGATGAGAATGAGGATGATGATGACGAGAAGATACGAATAAAGAAAAGAGGAAGAGGATGAAGGTCAGGAGACGAGAGGTGGGTGGAGTCAGTCAGTACAGGTGGACGCATGGGGTGGACAACAGGAAGGACACGATCGACCGGTGAGAGGTGAGAGGTGAGTGGTGAGTGGTGGGTGGTGGGTGGTGAGAGGCGAGAGGCGAGTAGCGAGAGGCGAGAGGCGAGATAAGAGGTGAGATGGATGCGATCAGGCAGGACGAAGAGCTGGGGATGCGTCAGATCATTCTGCTGCCATGCAATGAATGCCATGTTGCAGTCACACAAGAGCGATCCTTCGTTCCGCCAAGGGTCGGTCGGGTACTAATAGGTACTGATAGGTAGGTACCGGTACCGGGACCGGTACCGAGACTGATATTGAGACTGATATTGAGACTGATATTGATATTGATACCAGACACACAGAGTACAACTACCGCTACCGCTACCGCTACCGCTACGACTGTACAACGGCGACAACTTCCCCCACCCCAACATACCTTGGGAATTCTTCGACAACTACGACTACTCACTACTGATCCCTTGGGTACGAATCTAACGGCGGGAATTCCTGCCCAGCTGCTGCAGAGCTGCAAGACATCTGCTTCTTCCCTGAAAAAGTTGCGTCATCCATCTGCAGGACGCACACCCACTCCCCAAGACAAAAACCTTCTTCAGATGTACCTACCTACCTAGGTAAGTAGGCATGTACGGTAGGTATGTACCGGTAGTCTGTAGGGATCCCCCTTTCGTGGGTGTGGTGGTGGTGTTGTTGTTGTTCAATATTCAATTCCATATAGCCTGCATCGTGACTGACGCCTGTTTCTGCAGGTCGGAGAAAGAGGAGAAGAGAGAGATAAGAAAGCCGTCGCCGGACCGGCCCTGACCTTTCTCATCTTATCTATACCGGGAGAAGATACTCTCCCTACCTCGCTTAATCAAAATGAATTACTACGTATGAGATAGATCCCAGCAAGAGATAAGATAGGTATATAAAAATGAAAAATAAAGTATCTCCCCCCCCCCTTCCCACTCGCTAATCTGCTGAGTTATCTATCCATATCTCTCTAGTCCAGTTCAATCTCGAAGGGGGTGCAGCAGCAGGCAGACGTCAGCATGGCTGCTGGTCTGCTCTTCTCAACACTATCTCTCCTCAACACTATCTCTTCTCAACGCCATCCCTTTTCCATCCATCCATCCATCCATCCATCTCAACCTCAATGTCTGTCTGCCCATGTTTACATATATAGCGCTTGGCCAACAATCGATGAGCTCTAGTAAACTATGAACGAGCCACCAGATTCGGGTTTTGTTACTTACTCATACATATCTGCCTGCCGACCTGCCTACCTACCTACCTACCTTTGTCGGCCATCTTCTATAACCCACGCCCAACACTCACACCCACACTCACACCCACACTTACCCTCACTTGTCAAAACTCCTCAGCCCACGACCCAGTCATCGTAGCCCACAGATCGTGATAGAGCGGAAGCGGGAGAACATCTTTCTCCCGCTCACGCCCCCCCTCCCCATCTCCCTCCTCCGGACCACCACCACCACCACCAACACCAAGGTGCTGCCGCGGCGGCACGCACTCCCCGCTCGGCACCGACCAGCTCCAACTCCCACTTCCGCTCCCGGCGCTGCCCCCAAAATGACCATCGAGAAACGCACCGCCGTACCTGTACCCGTACCCGTAACCCGTAGCCAGATCCGTCCCCGAGCCCATCCATCCCCGCAAGCGTCCCCCCTAGAAACGGCTCCAGACTCGCGTCCAGCATGGGACAGTGGCCCCTCGCAGCCGCGAAGTGCACGTCCGGTCCCACGATGGCATGATTCTCAGGCACGGGCGCCGACACGAGTTTCTCCACGCGCCTCTCGTACGACCGCTTCACACTCCCCAGCACCATCTCAAATTTGAGGAACACATCTGCGCTCCTCTCTCCCTGTCCCTCCCCTTTTCCTTTTCCTTCTCTTTCTCTTTCTCCTTTCGCTTCTCCCTTCCCATCTTCCTCCCCGGACGCACATACAGCAACAACAGCAGAAGACGACGATGACGGCGATGACGTAGACGTAGACGCAGACGAGCAACAAGACGAAGACAGTGCCCGAAACCGAAACATCAAGCACTCAAGCCACATCACGAGGGGGACCGCGCTCCGCGCCGCCGCCGGCCCCCAGCCCAGTTGCCGCGCCATGAGAAACGTGAGGCGAGACACGACGAGGATGCACTGGACCATGTACCCCCACTGCACGGCCGTAAAATCGACATAGCATGACGAGGGGAGGGAGAGCAAGAGGGAAAAGAAGGATTTGCACGCCTCGAGGCACTGGACGAGGTGCTCGCTGTTGATGGCCCGGGTGGCGGGTGGCTGCCGGAGAACCTCGCGGTAGGGATATCGCAGGAAGCCGAGCGGGTGGCAGTAGATGTTCACTTGGACGAACTTCTCTGCGAGCCTGACGGACGCTAGGATGCAGGTGTGAGTGAAGGAGGAGTGTGAGGTTCGATTTTTGGAGTCCAGGGAGGGAAGGGACGTACTAAGGGATTTGATGGCTTCAGATGTGCAGGCTTGCCAGTCCTGCAGCTCACGGAGGAAGACCTGGATGTTGATTTCAGCGGTCAGGGCTTCCGTCTGTGGATCCTGCGCCGAGGACGTGTTCGGGGAATTCGTCTCGCCGATGCGCTCGGATAGGCGTTGCAGCCTGACGAGACTGCCGATTTCGGTCTGGAGCTCTTCGTGCATGAGTTCTGGGCTGTGGTTGTCGAGGAGGTCGCGGTAGTGGCGGTTGTTTGGCTTTCGCCAGCCCACCTTCAGGGTCGGGAAGAGGATCTCGGCACTAGATTGGCGTTAGCGAGAGTGAGGAAGAGAGATGTGAAGTCAAGGGGGGGTATGGATGGATGCAGGCGTGCATACGTACGCGGAAGATGTGTAGTAGCAAGCGAGGTATGTCCTCCTAGCTGCCGGGGTAAATTTATCACCCTTGACCAGCCCGGTGGTCGTGATGGCTGTGTTTTTGGTTGGACTGGGTGATTCTTGGTCAAGACCAAGCTCGATCAGCAAGTCGATAGCTAGATGCATATACATGAATGTTATTGTAGTGTCCCTAGGATTCACATGAGCTGGGAACCTTGATCTGACAGTCAGTGGGTAGCTACTCGCCATGGAGACGGAAACGTTACCAAGCAATGTATACCAGTAGCCCTTGCAAGAAGTCAAGACTCTTCTTCCCCTGACGGAGGACCTGGGAGCCGAGGACTCTGCAAAACTCATGATTGATTTGGTGGTGTAGCAATGGGTCATCCAGAGATGCCGCAGTCAGTACAGCCAGAAGTAAGAACGGCGAAGTCCTTGACAGAGACGGGATCGTGGCCTCCAGGGGAATCTGTACGAAAGGGAAGAACGAGTCTTTCTTTCGAAACTTCAGCAGTAGCTCCTCTGCCTGCTTCAGAGTAATCCTACGCTTTTCAACGACCGCTGGCCTCTCGACCCCATCGTGATGAGCGTCGTCCAGACTGTCGACATCGTCATCTCCGGACATGTCCATATGGTGCTTTTGGAGAGTCACAAGGTCCTGGCGGGTATCCGGGGACGGGACTGTGGGCAGTGACAGCGAATACTCCGTGTGTCTGGAAGTTGTAGACGTGGTTGCGCCTGAAGGCCGTCTACACAGCCATTAGTAGAGAGGTCAAGATATGAAACGAAATCCTCAAGACGGCCGGCCCACGAACTTCCAGGGAGGATGAGATCGGACAACCCAAAAGTATGCTCCATGACAGGTTTTGTTTCCCTCCCCCCCCCCCCCCCCCCCTCCCCTTTCGATCAGAACGCTGGAGTCATATCTCCTCCTTCAATTATCTGAACCAGGGCTTCGCGAAAGACTTACGATGCACGGGTCCTCATGGGACGGGCTTTTGACCGGACGATGCATTGGCTCCCGCTCAACTCGCATCTTTGACACATCCCAGCCTCACTCTTGTAGACGCAGCGACTTTTACTTACGCGGCAAGCCTCGCAAGCCTTCGCGTTTCGCAGCTTTGGCTGGGCGGTAGCAGGTCCCGACATTACCTCATATATATATCTAGATATATCTATACACCTTTCAGGATCATGGATCGAACTTATGAGAGAGAGAAAGTAGTTGTTTGAATGCCCCACTCGAACAAAAGGGATGCTTCCAACGTAGGGGTCGTTGAGGGGGTTGTGGATTATATATCTCGCGTGAGTGAGCATCTATGCCCGGATCTACGCCGCACCAATCAACAGACCTGGTGAGACATCGAGGCGGGCCCACAAGTAGATGGATTACTGTTAACACTCGAGTCTCTTAAGAAATGCATTGAAAGGAAGGCGAGAGAATCCCGGTTCCACTTTGTCAATTCCATCAAGACTTACTAGCCCCGTGACTAGGTCGTTTGCAACACAACATCGGCAACGCAGGCTCTGTGATCGGAAAGATAGACCCCATCATCAAAACGGTTTGCCAGTACCGCATAAGAGCGATATGTGACCTTGTCGCCTTTTCTCGAGAAGATAAAGTCAATCCGGACCGGGTCGTTGTCGACATACCCGAACGAGGTAAAGGTCATCTCGTCGCCGTACCGCTTCGACTCTGGCATCTGCAAGCAGATATCTTCCATAGATGAATCCGGTGAAGTCATGATCTGGTATGCGTCGTCATCAGGGGGGCTGTTGAAATCACCCGCCAACAAAATAGTGGACGGATCTTCGCACCTGGTCAGGGAGCCGATCGCCTCTAGGATGATTTTGACGCTCTCTCGTCGTGACCGGGAACCCTCGTTATCAAAATGTGTACACAAGACGGAAACCTTCCGTCCGCTCTCTGCGTGGATAAATAGTCCAATAGTGACAATCCTGGGATTGCCAGCGTCCCATCCTTTCGAGGGTACGTTGGGCGTTGGACTCAGCCATTTGGTTTCCCAGCTCTTCAGTTGCCAGATGCTGGGCCTGTAGAAGATGGGGGAGTATTCTCCGGCTTCCTTTCCGTCGTCACGGCCGATTCCAATGTAGGCCCATTCTCCATCGGAAGTCTTAGAGCCGTTGAGGGCACTGTGGACGTCCAAGAGCTGGGAGTGGAGAACTTCCTGGAGACAGATGAAGGTTGAGGGTTCAGCCGAGTTGAAGACGAGCTCCGAGCAGAGCCGGGGACATCTGACTTTCCACAATTCTTCGCCTCTGAATGGAGACTCGGTGGCGTAGCGGATGTTATGTGTGAGAATCCGGATGTCGATCGCGCTTTTGGATGATGGATAGCAATCCACGATGGGATTATTGCGGGTCATTGTATATGAGGATTGGACAACAAAAAGGTACAGATTTGGGGCCCCGAGAATCAAGGCTCTTATGGAGTATAGATTCTGGCGCAATGAAGCCGCGACGTAGTATATGTGAATTTCAAATACCGGTAGATACAGAGAGTCGTTACCGGGGGGGTAATGGTAGTGCTGCAAGAGGGGATACTCCGTAGTTGGTTAAGCCGAGAAGTCCGGGCCTTGGGATAGACATCCACGTGACCATCTTTCGGCCACTTTCCCTTCGCCACAAAATAACGGTCCAGGTCTCGTGCCACTCACCCCGTTCCTTCCGTTCCGGTATAAAGCCGAGGCAGGCAGCTGAATACAAGAGAATAATTGTAACAGACCCTACTATGTAATACCCTACCCCTACGATAAAGGCGATAAAGGCTCATAATAAAGACATAATAAAGATATTCACTCACTTCTCGCTTTTCCGGTATCTTGTGTGTATATATATCCACACACATCCACCATTCTGTCTTTTATTCCCGCGTTGCTAGACCGCCAAGAATACGGAGGCTGTGATCATGGCAAAATCTTACATTGAGCGTGGTTTGTTCGTCTGATAAGTACGTCTTTGGCTTGCAGACAATGCGGCCGGGCGAGGGAAATAGGAAAGATATAACTATTATTTTTTAAGTAGACAGCTATCCAGAAATATTTCTCTCGATATATATATATATGATTATGGACCACGGAACGGTGGCCTTGGAGGGAAGGCTTCGAGATCATATGATCGGTGTTAGAGCTGGTAGCTGAAAAGGAGGAGGTAGTTGCTCACTGACGACAGTAAGTAGGCTGTGCCAATGCTGTGGCATATTTGAAGAACGGAAAACCATATCAGTACGAGATGCCACCATCTAAATATGCAGATAAAGATGACGAAACAGAAACAAGGGGCTTCTTTGATGTGTCTTTGATTTCGTATGTATCGCTACCTCAAATACAGTTCATGGCCTTAGCCTCATAAGCCAGGTAGCCCACGAGCAACAGAGACTACCCTCTCGGAGCAAGCAAAGCCAGCCAATCATTAATCCTCAGATTGGCACCTCGAATGCCAAATGTTCTACCGTTGTCTCCCTCGGGGAATCAATTAAATCCGAATGCCCTTCCCAAACGCCGCGAATATGCCATACAAATTATTACACGCACACATATGACCTCAGATGCGCCCTCGTCTAGACATGTAACGCTATGCCAAGTCAAGACCGTTCACTTGGACTTTATAGTCGGCGGTTTCGATTAGCTTCCATCATATCCTCCATCATCATCCTCTCGCTCAGGCTCTTGGGGGCGCCGGTAAATCCGCCACTGATGCGGTAGCTTTGGGGATTACTAGCGTCCAGACCGCTTCGTCCATCAACGCTTCCGACGAAGGAATCGAGGGGGCCGAAGGCGGCGCCGTGGGCATGGACTTCCGGGCTGACGATGGGTAAGCTGAAGGGGTGGCCTCTGAGAGATCCTACGACGCCTGCAGAGGGATTTTCGGACGTTTGTGTGGGTCTAACGATCGAGGCGATCGGGCGGGCAGGTGAGCTGGCATATTTGAATGGGACCTCGCGGGCCTCGGCTCGGGAGGTGGGAGACTCGGTGTCGAATGAATCGCGCTCCTCATCTTCCAAGTCTGGATAGCGCTGGCTCTCCTCGAGTGGAGGGCTGCGAACATCGGAGGCGGCTTCGTCAAATCGGAAGACCTCATCTTCATCATTTTTATCGAATTTCAAATCATCGATACTGACTTGGTGTGTACCAAGTACGAATTTGTCCAGGTCTTGCCAGATTTTCCTTGGTCTCGTTGATGCGGTTGGTGACTTGTTGTCATGGAGATTTGGCGGGTTGGTGGGTGAGAGCATCGTTGCCACGGGTGTACCTTGCCGTCTCAATTGAGGCATGTCGAGAATGTCCTCATCTTCGGATACCTCGGGGTCAATATTCAAGTCCGTGCTATCGACAGGGTTAACTTTATCAACTCTAGCTAAAACACCATTTTCATTCGTATCTCCCAAGGTTAGCTTCGACGCCCCGGTGCCGATATAAAGATCCTCACTAGATGAGTCCTGCGAGATCCCATTGCTGGTTGCCACCGAGGCCGAACCATCTGGAGGCGCAGAAACCGTGGTCCACTGAGTGCCATCATCGGCGAGAGGAAATCTCGAGAGTGCTCTTAAGGCTTGTGATGACGAGATCCTCTTGGGTGGCGGCTTCTCAATATCTTCAATCATCTCATCCGCAACTTCCTCCTCATCACTGAACAGGCTCGTCGGAACTGCGCCATCGAGCTCGGACATGGAGGATGGTGAAGATGTTGGTAGCACCTCCTCACCCGCAACTTCAAACCGCACGCGGCGGGGGCTGTGTCGGTCCTTGTTCGAGGCGCTGGAGGATCTTCTCAGAGCGCTACGGCGGGTCGTTTCTCCCTCGCTGTGTTCTGATGTATTGGACAGTACCGACACCTCGTCTGTATTCTTTCGTCTCGGGGTCGGTGGGCGAGAGCCTTCGGGTATATCCATGAGCGATCTCGTATCCGTGCTCGCATCCACTTGCAATGGCTCGGTCTCGTGCTGCTTCAGCGTCGGGGATATTGGTTGGTCGGGGCTCGATCTCCGCTGGCTGGTGTTGTCGAGGAGTGGGAGGTAGCTGGGCGTGAAGAGGCCTTGGAACTCCAAGTCTCGCGTGTGTGGGCTCCGCGGGCTGCCACCCATCTCTTGTTCTTGCTCACAGGGAGGCGCGGAAATAGGGGCGGTTGGTGTCGAGGTGGTGCTAGTGATGGAACCGGCGACCGAAACGGGGACGGGGATAGGGACGGGGACGCCATCTTTGAGGGTGCCTGTTGCGCACGCGCATGACTCGATTGGGAATGCTGCGCCCGCAGGATAAAGCGAGGGAGCGTCTTTCATTGCTTCTGCAATTGTTTTCGAGACTGTCTCCGAGACATCTTGAGAGACATCGCTGAGGAGCTCTTCCGAATACTTCTCAAACTCTGCAGCCATGTCCTGGCCGTACTTCCAGACTTTGTGATCGAGCTCCGACAGCTTCTGTTGAAGCTCCGACACCAGCCTGCTTGCCTCGTCCATGGTTAGCGGAGGGGAATTGACTTGCGGAGGCAAGACGAGGTGGGGTTCAACGACGAAGCATGTCCGAGGAGGGAGAAGTAGGTCGACTGGTGTTGAGGTGAAAATGGTGGTGGTGGGTGGTGGTGGTGGTGGTGGTAATCGTAGTGCTGGGGGGGGGGGTGGGGTGGTTGTTCGGTTTGGGGTGAAGTGTGGTGGGTGTTTTCTTTTGCATTTACCGGTACTCTTCCAAGCAGCGTACGTAAGTACCCTAGCTGAACCTAATCGGCTACTACGTACAGTGGACAGACGGTCGGGTAGGTAGCGGTCAAAGAGCCTGACTCTGACAGCAAGATAGATAATTTAGTAATTTAGCTTGACACATGATATGATCAGCAGGGCCTAAATCCAATATAACACGTTAAATGAGCCCCTAGGTAGGTAATAGGTCGATTCGCCTAGTTTGGAATTGTTCTTATAGTACAAGATAGTAGTATCTCGCTCCGTCGCACGTCCCACGTCCCACGTCCCACGTCCATCTAAAGAGCCTCCAATATGTCCGGGGTTGGTTGATGGCCATGCAAACAACTTGGTACAACAGATAATGAGCTGGTCCTGAGTCCTGAGTCTGGAGTCCTGAGTCTGGAGTCCTGATTCCTGAGTCTGGAGTCCTGACGCAAAGGTAAGCAAATCCACACATCACGTTGCATCGCCGCCCAGCCGCCCACAGCGTCATTCAGCAGACCCCCCCGTGTCCTGACACCGCTCCACCCCTGCTTATCAACCAGGATGTTGACGTTCTAGAGCGGCTTCTATTTAGAATTAACTTCGTATCACGTGGTAGTCATTGATATCCAATCCATTATCTGGACCTGCCTATGCTTCGGCTTTCCTGTCTATCACTTGATGCGATGCTAGTTCCAAGACGTGCGAGAAACAAAGGCGGACGTGATCAGATGAATGACTAGCTCGCTACGGTTTTTTTTTTTTCTTCCTTTTTTTTTTCTTCTTACCGAGCCGCACACTCCAAAGTTTCCACGCTCACAGCGGAAAGTTAGAGTTTGGTAGTGGTGGCGCCCACCCCAAAATCTGGTTGGAGAATAGTTCAAAATAGAAACATCACCCCAACTAACCGGTACTATAAAAGTGGGTTCTACGGAGCACGGCACTTTCAACGGTTAAGGAGACGTCACCGCAGTACCTAAGTAGGGAATAGCGGACTTGGTGGAAAGAAGAACTCAGTCGTTGCTCATTAATCGTCGGCTCGCTTAGGTGGGCCTCCTTTCAGCCTTTCAGTCTTTAAAAAAATCGGTATAAGCGACTGCGGATCGGAAGCGAGTGCGGATTTTTCGAATGTGTTAGAAATTCTTATATACTATAGCAAGTACTATTACAACCCTAAAATATTTATATAAATAATTAATCTGCGATTATATCTTCTTTCGAAACATCTAAAATCGTATCATTTGATGAAACATCTAACCATCGATTGCTATTTTCATTAAAATCTAACTCGTCTTTTACTTTACGCAACGAATCGTTTGAATCTCTACTACTATTAGAATTAAAGCTATCGCTATCGATATTAATACTAGAAAAAGGAAAAACATCTTGCTTTAAAAAAGGGTCTCTAACAATATCGATTGTAATTATTAAAATCATTATTATCGAGAAAAATTTTAAGTTGAAAGAGAATTGGTCGAGGAATACTTTTTTTACGAAGCCGCAAAATTCGACGCTCAAAAGGTTGTTGCATCTACCAAATCTCTTTCGAATCGAGAATTAAAATAAGTATTGCATCGTCGTTTTTGATGATTAAGCTTATAGCAAAGCGTTTTCGTATAATCCTTTTACGCCCGCGCTCAACTATGCGATTCTTTTACGATATTCAGCATCTTTTTCTTCTTTTTAAATCTTATCGACGCGCTTTTGTTTTGCAGCAGATTCAAGATGTTCTTTACTTTGCTGCTTAATAGCAAGCTTGTTATCGATTAATAATACGATTTTAGATGTTCCGGAAAAAGGTATTCTCATAAATTAATTATTTATATAAATATTTATTAGTTAATTATAATAGTAATTGCTATAAGATAAAAAAAATTCCAATATACTCGAAAAATCCGCACTCGCTTCCGATCCGCAATCGCTTATACCGACTAAGACTGAAAGGCTGTAAGGAGGCCTACTTAAGCGAGCCGACGATTACTCAGAATTCGGGCGCACCATCTCGCCATCTCACCATCTCACCATCTCCCCATCTCACCATCTCAAATAATCAACCCCCAGTCTAGTACTCGAAAGCGTAGCACAAATACCCGCCCTGGATATTCATCACCTCCTCCATCCGAACGGACTCCCCCACCCCAAACATCGACAACTCATAATCCAGCGTCATCTCCTCCCACCCATCCGCCGGCTCCGTAACCGTTGTATTCCCCGAGATAGCAAACATGCGGTCCGCTGCAGAAACCTGCTGCCACTGCCAGTACAGTCGGTCCAGGTAAGCATGGTGCAGGTAGAACACCGGATCGCCCGGAGAGGCATCGACGTCCGTCATGATGCCTCCCGTGGCCCGGTGCCCGGCAATGTGCGGGGCGAAGGCCATGCACTCGGAGAAGGCTTCGAAATCTGCGCTGCCGAACTCGTAGCAAGCGTCGATGTTGGCGCGCGCGCCCCACATGAGACCTTTAGTTTGGTTGAATTCACGCGCGAAGCAGTAGTCCGTTGTTTGCTCGAGGGGGCCGATGTGCTCGGTTCGGTTGGCGAAGGCGCCGGTGGTCACGCAGTTTTGTCCGTTGGTCCCGTTGAGGTGTGAGGTACCGTTGCCGTTGCCACCGAAGTAGGTGTCGGACCACACTGCGAACGTCTTAGATAAGACTTTGGGAAGAGGGAAGGGAAGTTTGGTGGCAGGTGAGAAGCTTACTATCGGACTGGAAAAAGTTCCCGGAAGCAGCATCAATGGCTTCGTCCCACCATGGCATCGTGCCGGTGTAATTACACTCCGTCTTCAGCATGGTCTCGTGGACGTGCAATTGGAGTCTATGCCAGGGGAGAAATTGGGCCTACCACAGCATCAGTACATGCACTTGACAAGCATAGGGAAGGGAGGTATCGTACAGTATAATGAATAATATCCCCGTATGTTGTGTTCGTACCCTGCTGATGCGCAGCTTGGAAGTCATCGAATCGCGTAGTAGAACCAGGCCAGTCCGTAATATTAGGCAAGGCCATCGCGCAGAGTTCGGCGTCGATGAACGCCATCTTCTCGTCGTGTGTAAGCGATCTCCATTCCTTGCGGATAGTCATCGTCTCTGGAGTACACGATCCATTAAAGAAAGTCTGGCCGGTGACATTAGCTGGGAGGTATCGACCAGGTAATGTTGTATTAGTGTAGTTGGTCGCAACATATGGAGCTGCGCTCGCAAGATTCATGAGGCCCAAGAGGATGGTGATGGAAAGCATTGTAACGAGCGTCGTATTCAAAAAGATAGTATCCTACTGTATACAGAAGAGCGAGAGAAGTGACGAGTATACAAAAGAGCGAGAGAAGCGACGACTTATATCATGCACCACGGCCGATTCCAAATACGGCTCGGGGAGAAAAGCAGTAAGATCTAAAAGGAGAAAACAAGCTTGGACGAGACATGTCGATCCAGCGGGACACACATACAAAAAAAATTTGCACAGGGACTGAGTCCGATTGCGCATTGCAGGATCTTTGACTTGGTGCGTAACATCATAGCGAGACTGGAATTTCAACTGTTAAGGAAAACCTGCGACCCGTCCACTTGGACGAGTTGGACTATTCGCTAGCCCGGCAAAAGAAGAAGCTGTTGATAGGCCAGCAAAGAGCCAGGGCTCGTGATACTATGGATTCCACAGACTTGGTGGATTCGGCGGCAATGAGTTTTGACTCCCGGATCTCGTGGCAACGCTGGTCATGTTGCTTCTGTAATAACGGCCGAGGCATCAGATGGCCGTGTCCGAACGCTACGTGGCTCGGGGTTTGATAGTTGTGTACGCGTCGCCGTTTCTATGCCAGTTAGCCCTTCCTAATAAGCTAACGAACACGAGAGGGACGGTAATTGTCGGCTCGCTCAGGTAGGCCTCCGTATATCATTTCAGTCTTAGTCGGCCTAAGCGATTGCGGATCGGAAGCCAATGCGGATGTTTCATGCATATTAGAAATTTTCCTATACGGTACTATAGTAGTTATTACTTTGACTATGAAATATTATATAAGTAATCAACTTGTAAGTATATCTTTTCTCGAAAATTTTCAAAATCGTATGATCCGATGGAATATTTAACTATCGATTATTATTTTCATTAGAATCTGATTCGACTTTTATCTTACGCAATACATCGTTTAAATCTTTACCACTCTTAGACTTGAAGCTATCGCTATTGATATCGAAATTAAAGAAAGGAAAAAGAGTTTTGCTATCAAAAACATGTCTGTAGTAATATCGGTTGACAGTTGTAATTACTAAATCACCGCTACCGAGAAAAGGTTTCGGTTGAAAGAGAATTAATCGAAGAGTACCTTTTTTACAAAGCCGCAAAACCTAACGCTTAAGAGATCGTTGCAACCATTACATCTCTTTCGAATCGAAGATTGGCAAATTGAAACGAGAAAAGGTATAAGTTGAAAGAAAATGAACCGAGGAATACTTTCTCTACGAGGCCGCAAGACCTAACGCTCAAGAGGCTGTTGCAACTACTAAATCCCTTCCGAGTCGATAATTGGAACGAATATTAAATCGTTATTTTTTATAGTCAAGCTTGCAGCACAGCGTTCTCGTATAGTCTTTTTACTCTCGCGCTTAGCTTTGCGTGAATCGATTCTTTTGCGATATTTACTTAGCGTCTCTTTCCTTTCTCTAAAACTTATCAACGATTCGTTGTTATTTTACAGCAGATTCGAGATTTTCTTTAGCTTGCTGCTCAATAATAAGCTTCTTACTAACCTTAAATATCAAATCATCGGTGTGATGAAACCATTAGCGAGGCTTCTTCGAATAACTGCGTTTCCGGCTTATAATTAATCGTAGAATGCAATTTTGCGATTATGAATCAGAAGGTAATATTATGAATTATTTTGTATATAAAATTTGGTAATAAGTTAGAAAAATCCGTATTCGCTTCCGGTTCGCTATCGCTTACGCCGACTAAGACTGAAAGGATATAAGGAGGCCTACTTAAGCGAGCCGACGAGTAAAGGCGAGAAGAATTTGCGGCCTGCAAATGGGTCGATGATTGGTAGACATCAAAGGAGAGATAAGGACCCAAAAGTTGCGACGTCGAGTCGCACAATTATATTAACCCTGTACGATATACTGCTTCTCCTTCTTGAACTTCGAGACAGTCGAGTTGGTCAAGTTCAGGGTATCCATGATGATCTGAGGGGGGGTGAGCCCGACCCATTGACCAACGCTGATATCTATCAAATCGATCAAGTCAGCAACATTCTCGAAAGATCCTCGCGCCTGATTGAACAGGTGTAAAACAGAGGCTCGGGACATGAGGCGAGCTGGCGGTACGTACCGGAGAAGTGATCAGCTTGCAGCACTTCAATGAATACCACATCATCCTTGCCGATGTTCTCGACATAGTGAGTCATGGCTCGAGGAATATATCCGCAGTCACCAGCATGGTAATCGAAGGTCCGGGCGTTTCCTTGAGCAGCCTAGGAAGACGGGTCAGTTCTTCTTGCGCTGGGAGGTGGAAGGGACAGGACATACAAATATTCCAATCCGGGCGCTCCCAGATACGAAGAAGTTCCATTCATCAGACTGTAACGCAATTAGCACAGCTTAATGGGATTGGAAGCTTATTGCCATACAGTAGTGTGCCAGTGGATTTCACGGACCGCGCCAGGCTTCACGGTGACGATCGCAGCCGAGAACTTCTCTGCCAGAGGGAAAGTCTTGGGGTCGACGATCTTGACACTGCCTCCCTCGGTCGTGATCGTGGGGGCTTCCTTGGAGAGATGGTAAGTGTACGAGTTCTCGACGGGTACGATGCCCGCTGAGCCCACGATATTTTGCTCTGGAGCATAGAGAATAGAGTCAGTAATTGCTATTTGAGAAAGACCCGAGATCAAAACTTGACTTACCAGCGATGTCTGTTGGCGCTGGAGTACCCGGGAATATGAAAAGCTCCCCAGCCGGGATTTTGTCCCATGCGGAGAGAGGAAGTCCACCTTTATCAAAGTTAGCTTTGCCATTGGCCCAGTCTCTGGATTTGGGATTGTTTTGAGTTCTGGCTCGGACGAAAATCTTAGGAGTCGATAATCTGAAGACATCAAAGAATCCAGGCGGGTATTCACACACCGAAGTTTTTACTGAGGAGAGCTTTCTGTTTGTCTTCTTCTTAGCATATGTATCAAATTCAAAGATGTGATCTGGGATATAAGGACAGAACGAACCGGGTTATGTGCGAACACTTCAGAGGCCAGAAACGTATTGTCCTCGCTGAAATCCCCGTCATCAAAAACAAGAAGGAACTCAACACCCCCTTCCAGACCCTGCAAGGAATGCGGGATACCTCTATAGGTCTCGTCAGCAAGATTCATTGCCATCAGGATAAGAGGTTAACTTACGGAGGAAAGTACCAAACATCGCCCGCACTCAGATCATCTACGAATGTCTGTCCCTCCTCATTCACAGCTTCGACTCTCACACTTCCCTTCAAGATATACGACCACTCGGCAGCCTTATGCCAATGTAGCTCGCGATAAGCACCCTCCTCAAGTCTCATGTCCACTCCCGCCATATCAGTCGCCGCAGGAATGTTATCAATGTTCTGCTGCCGCGACCACCCCGCTCTGTCAAGACCGAGCTTCATGTGACTCAGGCCTAATGGCCACTCGGCATTAGCAACAGATCCATGGTCGGTTCCTGGTGGCGCAAGTTTGTCTGGGTTCAAGATGTCGTATTCTTCTGTCCTCGGGCCGGGGTCGGTTCCACCTTTGCTGCCGCGAATGGGTTGCGGATTCTTGACATTGTTGAAGTCAAGGTAGTCGCCAACAGTTGCGGCTTCAGTCTGGCCAGGTAAAAGAGAGTACTGGATGTTGGCCGTGTCCTCGTTGACCACACCATTGGCGGAGTTGTAGCCGAGAAGAGAGGTAGGCGATGGCTCTACAGTGGTGCCGGTTGGAGCTGCGGAAATGAGCCATGCGAAGCCCAGCAGAATAAATGCAGCTTTTACGTATACCTGAGTTGCCATTATTTTATGCCTTGAACGACTTGAGTTTAGAGACAGAGGAAACTATGGGTGAGCGGGAAGTCCAGGAACTCGAGAGGTGTGGGAATGGAGGGATCTGAATTAAGGGTTTAGTGGCTCTCGGGGGTAGTAATAGCTTCCTCTCCTTAGACTTAACAACAACTGCTATTCGTACCGAGTTTCATTACTGTGCACACTTTAGAGTACTACTAATAATAATTAGTGGTTAGTTCTAAAACCATAGATAAGCCAGGTAGAACTAGAAGAAGAGGTAATTGATCGCTTACGTTCAATTACGCTATTGGAGACCGACGTCATAGGCGCAATCCTAACGTATTTGGCATTATACCTAGGTATCTACGGCGTCCATCACGCAAGTACTCGAGCAGATCGAATATTTTCGAAAAGCTCAGGTTCCCACCCCCCCCCCCCCTCCCCCCCAATACTTACAATAGCGGCCGAGGAAACTAAGTCCGATATTGGAAGCGTCAAGATCAGAAGCTTTGAGGATCTCGAACTCGAGGTTCGTGGAATTTACCCCGTTGATAGAGTAGTATGGGAAGCAGGCGAATTAGACCCGGACAAGCTAGACTAGCGAACGGCAGGCTACGTCAACTCCTATGTCATCCGAACATTCGATCAATTCAAAGAGGAATATCGATACGCGAATGGCAAGGCCTTATGAGGCTTGTTTCAAGAACTGACTTGTTTAAGCTAGGCCATCGAACAGTACTTACGTACTTGTATAACCACTTATTTGTACTTCGAGTGTATATGCCGGACGTAAAGGGCAAGAGCGACGCTGGACTGCTCCATGACTTACAAGACCTGATAGTCTCTACGATATCCCTCCGGAAAAAGAATCCAAACGAGAGGAACGACTTCGACTATGACATACAACCATCTCATTATACCACCCCTACCTCCAAAACCAGCATACGTCGAACCTATGCGACCAAGACTTGACAACACCACGAATAATAACAACTGCTATTCCTACCGAGTTTCATCAGTGTGCACACCTTAGAGTATTACCAACAAGAGGTAATTCTTCTCTCTATATACTGTCGCCAAGACCCGCTTGCTAAGTATATTAACATATTGCTGTTTGTTAGGCGCCCTATAGCTCGATTTCTGGAGCCTGGAATTTCCGGAAAATAGGCTCTGTTTGGTATAGTATAGCTCGTTGATCAACCCACTAAGCTGCGTGCTTTAGACTGCGCGCAAAGCCCTTACAAACGTAACCCGGGACGCGAAGGCCCTTGTAAAAGCGCTATAATCTTGGTCAGCGTAAACAGGCCGTTCTTCCATGAATTTCTTTGATTTATAATAATTTCCCGGGAAGTGTGAGTGGCACACTTTCGATGGAAGTAGAAGTTCAACGCCCCATCCTCTGCACTGTATCATACGACCAGGTCACAATTATCTGATACCAATCAAACTCTACCAACCAATCTCAACTTGTAACCTGTCCCGGTTAGCAACAACTGATTAGAATAGAATATCATATAATCTTCATTCACTGACAACTCTGGGACCTGCTAGTAATATTCCACTGCGCCGCAGCTGCGGAGTAAGGCTAGGATTTACACCTGTCAGCATCTTCATCATAAAAGCTCGCTGAGAGATCAGGGTATTTCTGGTGATAAGTCGGGAACCCATTTCTAATCATATCCATTTATAATACATTCTCTATGGATATTTGTGGATGTACAGGCACGTTGAGACTTGGGCGCGTTGGGCAAGGGGATCGATCAATATTCCTCATGCGGGGTACAGGATGTACGGATCGAACTCCCCATTCACCTCGGGGGTTGTCCAGCTTCTTGGTATGAACAAGATTTGTATGTAAGCATTCATTTGCATAGGAAGTATCATTCCGTGCAAATGGTAATCTTGGCTATGTTGCAGCAGTAGCGACGTAAGGGTCGCACTATGCCTGCACTCTGCAGCAACACCTTGAAAGTTGAGATTCCAAATAGTCGAACGGAAAGTGGGGGCTTCAAAGTTGTCCGTGGATCGAGAAGAGAAAGATTCAGCCTGATATATGCTTGTTCCGCAAGTGAAATATGAAGTGATGACAGTAGTTCCCAGCGACTCGCTTGCGAGCGGAGCGAGGAATAGCCAAGAGCGGTTTCTCGCCCCGATTACTTAATGCTCTTTCCATTGTCCATTATGTACTCGGAGGTGCATTTCCCTCTACGTTAAGCTTGAATCAGGGTTTGGAAAGGAGATATTTGCATCAAAGATCCAGAGCAGAAATAGAAGCGTCTCGGTCAGCTTATCGGGCCTGATTTGATGATACAGCACCTAATCATTGTCACAATGTCCCAACTTGTGAGACACTAAAGGTTGCTCCTCGCCGCACCCATCCAGGACGAAGCCTGTTCTTTCGTTTTGGGAATCCTGGCTACCACTGCCATAGCTGCCGGACCGCGACTCGGATATTACGATATACGGTAGAAGTTTTCTTATCCAGGCCTGACGGCGACTCGAATCCTTGTCTCGTCGATTTCCCTCGATACTCGATGCCGGATGGACTGCTCTGCTAAGCCCTGCTGCCCGACTCTCTAATTCTGCTAGCATGGATTGCAGTGCGCTGGCATCTTTGAAGCTTGTTTGTAAGTGGAGATGAACTCGTGTTGATCAAACCTATAGGACCCATGAAAGCGTCCACCACCTCTTACAAAGTCCAATCGACTTGGATCCCGGTCCGAGATAGTCCTTGGCGAGTAGACTAAACAACTATCGTACGGGTATTTCCTAAGTGGATTAAAAAGGCCGTAATGATAAATTCGTAATTCAGTATCGAACTACTTTCCCACTTGTGGCCTTCGACGGAGAGAAGTGAGCAGTCGATGTTTCGCAGTGCATGAAAATTCGAGAAGGCTTTTATGCAACACTTCGTCGAGGGGGAGTTAGTGCTTTTACATACGAGGGATTTTCAATGGAGCACGTAACCTACTGTTTCAAAATTAATAAATACTATCCGGGAACTTCAGGGCCGGGTGACCCGTTAAAAGGTCGTATTCACATTGGATCTTGAGGATCGGGCATATGTGGAAGTAGTGTACTGTTACATCTGCGCTATTGCCTGGGTAATCCTCAAAGAGAGAGATAGTTGTTTCAGATCGGGCCAGCGTCTAGTCGGCTCGACTAGATAATTGCTCATATCGAAAATGGAGTACTCTGTTACCGATTGGCATTAGGATCGAGAAGATTCCCACTCATATCCCACTCGCTAGTCTGCAAGAACATATCTATCCCCTCAGGTTCACCGTAAACATCCCGTAGCGACGTCCATTCACTAGGAGTACTAATGTGAGCCGGATCCATGAATGAAAAGGTATCCGTAACCTTGCCCTCAATCGCCAAGTCTGTGAAGGTCCCAACGCCAGCAGGTTTGGCGGTAGGTTCTGCCTGGCGGTGAGGAAATGTATACGTCCTCCCACGGGAGAAAGATTCATATTCAGGGCTCGAATCATAAGGAGCATCAATGGGAGTCGGAACTCCGTTTGTTAATGAGCCAGTGGTGTTTACAGCAGCAGGCCGAATGTTGGGGCTGTTTGCTAGACTTGAGTGACTATCCGTGCGAGCCTTGCCACCGATGTTGAACGTAGAAGGGGGGTCACGAGGCCCGTTTTGTATGTCGAACATGGTACAACTGTTGTCCAATGCAGCAAAAGAATTCAGATTGTCGACAGTCATAGGAACCCCGTTGCGTTCTGCTAGCAGCCCGTTGATGGGTATATTCGGAATATCATTTTGGAGCTTGGGCCTCGGTCCCTTTAAGCCCGCCCCCTCAATGTCTAGTTCAAGTTGAACTGAGAAGTGTCTGGTAATGGGGTGCTTTTTTCCAACAGCTCTCAATGCAGCAAGAAGAAAGTCGATGTTGACCATGCTCTGTGGTCCCGGTTTCTCGGATTTCATATCCTTGAGAAATACCCCGGCGGCGACGTAGAGACAGAAACCTACCCACGAGTTCAGCTAGGAATACGTTAGCTTTGTCATGACACCAAAAGGGCGATCACGCACAGTTGACACATCCACGTGACAGATGAGCCTCATAATATTCGTGATCTCCTCAGCGGCCATCAGGCAGCGAGCGTGACTGAGGCGTGTGATGTGGGAGTCAAGCTTGTATTTTGACGCGGTAACAATTGCTGCTTGATGAAGGCATATGGAAGAGGAATGTAGGTTCAAGTGAATAAAAACGATGCTCATATCCCTGAGGCCAGCTGGTAGTCTCAAATGGTCGGGCAAGAACATGAAAGTATTGGAAAGAACATTATCCATCTTTCGATGTCGTTTCCAGAATTCGCCATTGGCAAGGTCTCCGGGATTCTCGTTTGGCCCGGTTCGATGGAGGTGCGAAAAATTCTTCCCGTACAACGCAGCAGACAGAATCACACCGCCAAAAGGAGATATGGCTCCAGCGCCTTCAGGTGTTAGCGCTTCGGCCAGGGAAACGCTTTCATGAGGCACCCCTCGCTCGAAAGATTCCTCAGAAGAGGGCAGATTTGTCATAATCTAGGTCATCAGTCAATGATATACTCACAGGATCTTGCTCAGAGTGTCGTAACATACTTCTGATTCGTTGATGAGCATCGGCCATCCCGTTCCCGAGCTTGCCCAGCGATCCCCATAAAACGCAGCCCAAAAAGTACGGCGACGTTCTTCCAATTCAATCCAATCGCGTGCAGGCGGTAGAAACTGCTTGACTTCAGAGCCGTCGGCATCAAGTTTATAGAGCCCCAGCATTTGTACTAAGCGGACTGCCCTCCCAGTACTCATCCATGACCGAGTGAAGTACGTCTTCATTGCCTCGAAGAAGGCAATCAAAGACCAAGTCTGCGCGTGGTACATCGAAAGAAATTGTTCACCATGGCCCTGCACATTGTTAGCGCCACAAAATGTTCGACGGAAGCGGACCTACCTTCATCTCTGCCGCTTGGATATACCGTCTCGCACGTTCGTACAGAACCTCTTCTATCGATGTGTATTTGTCGGATAAACAGGCAGCGAGTGCCCAGATGGCATACCTCAGACAGACAGGGGGTCTTGCTTGTGGTGCCCTATCTAAAGATGCATAGTATCGAAATATATGTATCATCGGCATAGTAGGATGGAATTTGGCGAAGTATATCCGATTCCTAGCGCTATCAGCATTTCGTTGCATCCAGTTTATGGCATCCAGCGTACAGTTCATCGATCATATCTTGTGGAGGCAGAGGTTCTTCAAGCCCTAGTTCTATAAGCTCCTGGGAGGGGAAATTGTCGTCAAGAGGAAGAAACTGATCCGTGTTCTGAATTCCTTCAAAAGAAGGATCAAGAAGTTTGGGATCGTCCATGTTGATATTCATATCCAATCCCAATCCTGAAGCATTCCAATCAGCCTCAAGACTATCCGCGCCTGCAGTAGCCGGTGCTTCTGCATTTGAAGCTTTCTCCTTGTCAGACACCAGTTTCGTCTCTACCTCCGCTGTATGATATCAATATTGCACATACATGTGTTTGCATCGGTTGCCTACCTAGTCTTGCCTCTAGTTCCTTCATATTGCGTCTCTTCGATGCCAGATTCTTTCTTCGTTCAGGGTATTCGCACTCGTGTCGCAACCTCAAGCAGGTACCGCATTTTGGCTTGATGCGATCGCATTTCAGCTTCCTTTTGCGACATGAGACGCACGAGATGGTTTTCTCGGGAGCCCTGCCATCTACTGTAGTTGTTGTTGTAGTTGCCGACCGGGGGGGTTCGCCAGCATTTGGTGGGTCTGCAAAGTTGAAATCGGGAATCTCAGGGGATTGATTCATGATGGGCCGGATTGGAGAACCTTTGGAAAAAAGTGTCGGAGCATGGAATCCAAGCCCAGAGTTTGCTTCACCTCACTTCATATCACTCAAAAGAATTTGACTTCGAACTCTAGGCTTCCAATGCGCTTGAAAATCAACCATAATTGTCTCAATGGGCAACCGTACTTTTCCTACCTTATCAGCCTTCTTCCTAGTATGCTAGGCCTTGGCTCGGCCTGCGGATCATCTTTTGTCCGACCTGGGAGACCCGGCTTAGATAGGTAAGTCTTCTCGTCTTCTCACCAGCTGTGGCCACCACCACCTACACCACCGCATTTCTATCACCATCTTCATCTACTGTCCTTCGTCCCGTCTGAGGTTTCTTCAAGGTATCAGAAGCTATAGTCTCCCGCCAGCCATAGGCGCATTAATACTATTGTGCGCCGTAGCATCGTCAAGGCGTGCTATACTGGACGGCCCTTGACAATGTGCAACGCGGCATGGACTTCATTACCTTAGACAGTTGAAATCATACGGGAGAAGAATCTTAACGCGCCCACTTCTTGCTCCGGTCTATCGAGACATATCTTTGCACCCTTTCTATTAAAGACTTTTGCATGTTCGCATAATTCTTGTTGTAGCCGCAAAACCCAGGCCACATCGACGCGGATGCCATCGACTTGCACTATACAAAGCCTGTTGGGGACAATCAACCTCTACAATCCATCAAGTCGATGCCGACTCGTCTTTTGATGTGGAGAGAGTTGAGCTCAGTGTCAAAGGGATAAAATGCACTGGTTATGAGTCTAATCTGCAAAAAGCCCCCGCTTTAATTGGATCGGTTTCGCAAAACAAAACAAGACTCTCAAGTTCACAAGTAGTATTCGGCGTGATACCTTCATCTTCCTAAAACTTCGAGAATATCGTCCATATAGTAGGGCAGCTGATAGGGTTCACATGCACGAGAATCACTCGCGGTGGCGAAGAGCTGGACTTGATACTTGGCGCTAGGCCGATGGCCTCGAGGCTTCGTCGGCCTGACGTATCTCGGCTGGGATACCGTGCACTTTTGTTCTTTGAGGGTTTTTTAAAGGGACGAAGATTTTCGATTTTGCAACTTGAACATTTCGAGCTCCTTTCTACGTGCCTGTTGCCGGCCACAGAGTTTAGACCCACAACAATTTCGCGCAGGAACTCCGTACTGGTATCGTTGCAACCAACAAGTACCTGTAAAACCACTCAGTCTTAAAGGATGAAACGAGGCCCACCTAAGCGAGCCGACGATTGCTATCAACCTAAGTTCCGGATCAACGCCGCCCGCTGGCTCCAAGAAATCACGCTCCAAAATCAACAAAGTACCTACCGTGCTAGCACTTACCACACATTCACTTCGGCATCACTTGCGCACAGTTGACTATACATGCTCTGTCTTACGATAAATTCGATGGCTGCTCCGTTTGCTGCCCCTGCCTCCCGGAACGACGCGGATCTCTTGCCTAGAGCTTCGCATGTTACGCCAGACCCTGCAGTTGAGATATGCGAAGCCGATCATTGATGCCGTAGACACCACTACCGTACCTCTAGATCAGAATTTTTTCTCATTCTCTCTCTAGTTAATGACTCGAACAATATTGCGAATAGCGGATGCTCGACATCGTTATCTCCGGTACAGTTGTGCAACCGAATATCTTCTAATCGGCGATGCTCCGAGCGAGACAATACCGGTGGACGCGGGCAGCCTACGGAATGACTTGAAAAAGAACAACTCGATCAATCATCACATTCGAAGTTCGAGAAACCAATAGAGAGTACCGGTAGCAAGGAAGAGGGATCAGACGACGACCATGGTTTCGTAAAAGTAAAGCAGAAGGTAGGAATCTGTTCTGCCTGCCAGCCTGTTTTCCGAAAAGTCCGTCCCCAAACTCGAGGAAGAGCGCGGCTGCGTCTAGCCTTCATACCGTTTTTTGCCTCTGCCACGTCTCGCCTCACTACGTCAAGGCATCGTTCCTGATAGCATGCTCGAGGACTGGCCGTGCCACATGTGAGGCCCTATAGGGGTATGATAGATCACACCCATCAGCCAGCCCGCCCTGTAGGTATATATGTGATATTGACTCCAGGACGTTAACAAGGACGCTATAGCGTCGATACAAGGTCCGAAAACGCGGATTGCTGAGCCAAAAATTTTTAGGGGGCTTGATGCCGTGCAGAGTGGCAGCCGCTTGTAATCTGCTGTCAGGCCGTGGCTGGCATGACTGACTACCTATTGCTTGCCTTCTTGGCGGTACGGGGAAGGTGTTCAGCCCGGATCTGGCGATGAGTGAAGAGGTAGGATCGAGACATGACGCTGGCTTGACCGGTTGAGATAGCTATTCTTGGGTCATTTGTGGTTATGCATTGTTGGTTTGCCCTCTAACTACAGCAGCTTCAGCTGATTCGGGAAGCTGCAGCGAAGCGAAGAGGCTTACAAGTTACGCATGAGGGAGGGGTCATTGACGCGTCGACGAACGACTAAACATGACTCGCAGTGGACTTGATAATAGAGGCCACTTCCGCCCACCTTCTCACCGTAGTAGCGTGTGGTAATGAGATTTGCGTGACTTATGGATGCTCTATGAGCCCTTGGTAGGACGGTAGATCTCTCGCTTAAAAAATGCTTCATGATTAAGTGAAACTCTGCTCCAACCTCCACATCTCTATTCTCGCTATTCTACAATATGACAGTAAGGACCAACAGGCTCAGTCCTTCTGGTTTAACAGAAGGAAATTCTCATTGCATATCTTTTTCAACCATGTTATTTGTGCTCCCCGCTCCAACCTCGGATCGTTTATCGTCGAGTTGGAGGGGCTGCTTTATCGCTTACAGTACCTACTAGCTTCGTTTTTCCAAGATAAAATACCGTTATTCTGCCAAACAGGATTGCAACAGTCTACTCCGCGGGTCTTGACGCCGACTGTTCATTCGCAATCCGGCAGCGTCTTGATAGGATAGGCGAAAGGCATACTGAAGCATTATTCTACCGAAAAAAAGATCAGTCAACGTATTCTGCCAGAGAATTATGGTCCGAACACCACTTCTTTGTATTCAAGTCGATAAGAACCCAGTATAATTCATCGGCTAGAGCTATACAGGAATATGCTCATGTCTCCTTTGAGTTTTACACACCTGTTTTGGTCACGAATATTTCCCGAGAACAGAAAGGAGTACTTCTCATTGCTGATATTGCCACACGAGAGTTTACACGCTGCAGGAACTGTATTCCGACGTCAACTCGAACAGGAAACGATGGAAAGAGTCGCTTTCGATAGCCAAGAAAGCTCTCAAATCGTGCCACGATTTGCAGAAGATGCTCGCTCTAGCTCTCGATATCGTTAATCTCGATAGGGTATTTATCATATTGGTCGGGATGGAAGCTAGGTATTAGCTTGGCGAAGGCTCAGCTAGGTACATACATCAGCCGGATAGGCTTCCCTCCAAACTCAAGATCTTTGTTTGACAATAAGGCTGATATCCGGATTTAGTAGTCTCTGTGTCGACACGAGCCTCCGTTTGCAGCCTCAAGATGCAACCTCATTCATTTTCAGCGCACAAAGAGCCCCGACCTTCTAGCCAGCCACATGATAAATGATCGTATCGGGGATACCTTTGAGCAAATCCGTATTGTCAACACAGTCGATCCAAAGCTTTCGAAAATGACAATCTACGAAAGATCTCAATTATCCGCCGAGGAGATGGACGCCATTCAGAGGAAGCAATTCCTGCCCTTACTGAGAGCAGACGACCAGGTCTTCGAAGAACACTATGAACGCATCAATGCCATGGACTATGAGGCTTAGACACAAGTTGCAGTGGAGATCCCGGATGAAGGAAACGAGAGCATGCCTGTGAGATGGATCGATCTAGCGGACATGATGCGCGACATGTCCGACAAACTTCCCTCGTGGTCGACTATGAGCCTTGGCCCTTCGACGACGAACAATCCTCATATTTGCAACGCCTACGTCAGGCTAATATGCAATTAAGTCAATGCGAAAAGAGGAGAGCAGTGGGAGGCGCTCAGACTGAAGAAACTCAAGAAGAAACAGAAATCGGTCAAGTCCCGAGGCTCAGCGAAGCCTGGAAGAGGGAGTCCACGGCGGAGTGGAAGCCCAGCTAGGGAGGGGAGCTCAAAGCCAAGCGATCATCGAGATCGAGAGCCGTTGAGAACTGTACGGTGCCCAGAGCAGCTGTAAGCTTGGTGATTGATGTCAGAAGATTGAGGAGATGGCCGGTCTTCTTCGCCGCCAAAAGAAAGGGGGAGAACAAAATGGGTTTCAACGCTGCGCTTTTAATTCAAGAGCTTGGTCACTACTGGGAGCAGAGCGAGTAAGTCCGGGAAGGCAAAGGTGGTAGGTTTTGCAGTTGAGCGAGACCAGCAAGCGATGAAGGAGTGAAGTACGCCCAAGAACGAGGGAGAAAAAGAAAGAACAGAAAGACTGATTCGTATAAAGAGCTATTGTCACGAAACAATGTCCATGACGTCGGCTGAGATTGAGGTAGAGATGATCTTCAAAAAACTGGGACGGACTCGGGGGGAAGAGGTGTGTCAACATCTGCTGGTTCCGGTTGATATCATCATGCTTGACCTTCCAGCCCCGAGAGAATAACATCAGGTGCTTATCCTTGACTGCATGAATCTCTCCTTTCTTTTGTAGATCTTCAAGCCCAAGATCGCCGTCCAGCCAGAGCCCAACAGCCAGGTCTGGCGGCGATCAGTAGTACGAAAGGCTAGTACTGCAATGTCTCTCTGCAGAATGACATACAGCTCTCTCCGACGAGTTTCGTGAGATCATTGAAGCCCAATGCCCTATCTAGCTCAGAATGCGGGAATCAAAAGCAAGTAAGGCCTTGCCTTGCCCTGTGGGACGCTTGAGCACAACGAAACAACGAAACAACAAAACGAGCAGCCTTATTCCTTCTCAAAACGTGCTCAGAGGACAGGCAACAAGTGGACGAACGCCATGATAACCAGAGCTCCATCTCCTCAGCGTGAAACAGAACTCAAAGGTGCCTAAGACGAGAAGTCGTTGCAATACTCGATCCGTAGATCATCCTCTGCGTTGGCAGTGTTCCTATCCCAACTGACCCGCCGGTGAAGAAATACCTCGTTCCACCGCCTCGGCCAGCGCTGTTCTCTCTGCACCCCCCGAAGACATGCAGGGACGCTTCTGCTGTTCTACGGCATGGTTTTCCTCTCGCAGTCGCATGGTACAGATAGGTGGCAAAGTGAAAAGGGGGCAGAATGACAACATTCGGAGCGTTGAAGGTCCAGCTGATCAGCTAGGCCCGCGTACCTAGTCCTTCGATCCCGAGGGTTTTCGGAACCAGATAACTCTCACTGCGGAATGGGTGCCGAGAGAGAGGTTTGAGCAGCTGTTTGGCTAGAGTTGGAAATTTGAAAACCGAATTAGCGCTGGTAGGGCTCCGTCGTTGCTTCCCTAGAACCTGCATCCCGGACTCGGATCTGATCTGATGTTTGCACTTCAGATGTCGAAATGGAGACCAATGGATCGCTGATGGCTTGTTGCTCACCGGGCTTTGGGTGGCACATAAAGTCTCATGTTTACAACCGGCGCCTGGTCGCGGAGCCTTGCAAGGCGAGGAAAGAGACGGGGTTCGCCATGCATCGACGATCCGATATTGGAGATGCAGGATGGCAGTTGCACAGCGTACTGCAGAACCACTCAAAAAGGCCTCCTGCTTGTTTCATTCTGCCGAATGTGTCTGATTGGAGAAGTATCTGAACGTCTTGGTGTATTGAGCAGTCACTGTCAATTTTCTGATAATGGCGCTGTTGTGAGAATAGACAAGGGGCCGAAAGACGGACCGAAGAATGATTTGTCAAACATGGTCGCGTTGTCAAAAGCAGGTTTGGTGCAAACATGTGATGGAAGGCGTGGAAGCACAGAAACCACCAGGTTGGTCAGAGGTTGAGGCGCCGAAGGGCCTGCCTGCTGTGCCAACCAAAGCTGAATCCCAGCAAACTCATTGCCCTTCGCTCAACCCACCCAGGAGATGTTGAGGTATGTAGAAGTATGTAGACGTATGTGCATTGCCGCCAGTCGACTTTCACCGACTGGGGTACGGGGCTTTACTTGGAGCTTTGGATGCTGCGTCTGGGTGCATGAAATGTTCCTCTGGATCCTCAGTCAGCTCAACACTCAACAAATAGCAATAGCGAGCTCCGATATTTGCCTTCATCACGAGGTCTGTGGTCGCCCTCGGCTTGCATTTGCATCCCGACCGTACCGTCACACCTTCGAGGTCCTCTCTCGGAATGGATATCGGAGAATTGGAGAATTCGAGGGGGGGGGGAGAGAGACAAGAGAGAGAGAGAGAGGAGAGAGAAGAGAGAGAGAAGAGAGAGAGAAGAGAAGAGAGGGAGAGAGACTTGGAAACCGAGTCCAAGCGAGAAAGCACCTGCCCGTCATCAAACTCTGACAGCGGCATTGCCCGGCACTGGATCATTGATTTTCATGGCAGCGATGCCATTGTCCCCGTTATTGTCCCCGATATTGTCCCCGATACTCGATTCGCCCGGAGACCTCGTGACCGGCGTAGCAAGAAGTCGTGAGACGGAGTGACGGAGTGACGTGACGCGGGGTTCCACTGCGGCAGCAGCCACAACAAACAACCTGCAACAGCCTCACCATGTATCGTCTCGACGGTAGGGCAATAGCTTTTCTCTTTATCTTATATCTATATTTGTATTGATTTTCTATTCCCAGGCCTGACTGAGCTGCGGATCAGCTGCTGTGAGTGTGTCTGTGTCCGATGATGCCGGGATTCCTGCTTGCGACGATGTCGGGAGTCACGGATGACACGATCCGTACGGAATGTCCCGAGATGAACATCAGTTACTACTTACTAGTTATCCCTGTTATTGGGTGAAGCGACCGATGCGCCCCGATGCGACCGCCAGCGGGGGGGGGGGATAGCTTCATGCAGGAGCGCGACTCCAGCAGTCCGGTTTGCAAGGCACTCATCTCCGTATTCCCGTTTCTCGGGCTTCTCCTCTGCAGCGAACGAATGTGCTCCGGGCAGACGGGCGTCGGCCGGATTGGTTAAGGAGCCTGGACCTGCTGGCATCGCAGCAGAATCAGCTAAGCTGTTGGTTGGAATTTCGATGACGCTCCTCTACGGAGCGGTACCGGTACTACGGTCGGTGTTGGGCCAGGGGAGGTCTGCGCCAGAGGTCGAGGTCGTCTACCTATCTTTTCTCCATACGATAGAGCAGTACCTACCTAGTACCAGTAGTAAGTGATCGTGCAGAGTTCGCTCCAGTCGAAGTCTGGGCAACTTTATATCTGAAGTGTCAGCCTGTCAAGCCCTAATTCTGATATGCGCCACAAGACGGGAGAAAACATTGGTTGCTGGGCTGCTTCCATTTACAACTCCGTACAAGTACAAGCAACTACAACGTACCTAGTTGTACTTCTCCGTACTCCTCGTATCCGACAATCAGCCCCGAACTTCTATCCGTGGGGATCTGTGTCTAGTCTACCGGTATGGCCATCAAGGGTGCAACTACAACTACGGAGTAGTCGTAGGTACAACGTTTTTTCTCTTCTCTTCTCTTCTTCTCCTGCATTCTCTCTGGCTAAATTGCTTTCTCCTGGGATAGATGAAAAAGGGGCTGACGCTGACTGAACCAATCTAATACAAGACAACCTCATAAATTGCCCTGTGAAAAGTCCATGGGCAGAGCGAGCGAGCCTGCCCATACATTCCTTGCCGAGGACCACGATCCACGAGGTGATGTTGAAATACTACTACTACGTACCTACGTACTCCGTAACGAAAGAAGGTTACTGCCGTGCCTTCTCGGACCGAAAGTTGCTCCTCCGAAGTTGTTGTACCACGTAGTAGTACGTAGTACTATGTACTACGTTGTACAGTACCGGTATATTACCATAGCAAGGCCTACCATGGCCAACCTGCCGCTATGAGCGAATAAGGAAGTCTGCAAGTACTTGCTTGCCAAGAGCGCAGAGAAGGTTTTGATGGGAGCGGTCCGAGTCCCGACTGCTAAGTCTTGCGGACTTACGGGTGAATTAAAGTGTCCAAGGCCGGCAGGATGGCGCTCTTGCTGTCCACCACCTTAAACCGACAGCCCTACACCAATAACTGGACCTGGACCTGGAGCCGATCAGTTGACATGTGTGTTGGTTTTCTAGCTGTGACGATGTGACACGGCGGGAATCGGGAGAAGGGGGGGAGGGGGGGGGGGGGGTGTCGGGGACTCCAGGGAGTGCTTGTTGGTTTAGGTTAAAGTTGATGCTGCAGGATGAGAGGGTATTCGAGACGAGATGGTCCAACTACAACGTACTATCTAAACTTGCCCCGGACTTCAGACAGGAATCAGAGCGGTGAAGTCAAAGTCAAAGATGTTGCAAAAGCGGACCTGCGATAAGTACCTACGTAGTAAGTGTTGCAATTTGAGGGTGCTTGACGTGCTTGACTGTTGCTGTAGCCTGCCTATCTGTTTCCATCTGTGTACAAGCGAGAGGCAATAATTGCGGCGCCACTGCAACAAGACGTATAGAGAGCCTTGTCCGAGAAGAGGAATATAGTTGAAACGAAACTAGGCGAGGTCGAGGCAGTAGTAATCAATACAGTATCTACTGTACCGGTACTCCGTAGAAGCAAAGCGACTCTGATTATGAACTTTTACATATACGGGCTTTATACGTAGTAACTGAATTATCAACAATCAGGTAGCTATTCCTTCCAACAAGTACCCACGACCTACGACCTACGACCTACGACCATTCTTCTAAACTAAGGTACTACCGGGTCCGTACTACGTACTTCGTACTTTTCGACTTGCTCCTACAGTACTCTGATACGGACATACTCCGTACCGCACGGAGTACCGGTACCTAACAAGAGCAAGTTTACCCCCACTACTCACGGACCGCTGGGCATCAGAAATCCCGGTTTTTGGGTAGGATGCAAAGTGCTAAGTACTGCTACCGGTACTGCTACTGCTACTGCTACTGCTAGCTACTGCTAGGTACAGCTACTGCTAGGTACAGCTACTGCTAGCTACTGCTAGCTACTGTACTGCTACTGTATAGTATTTGGCGGTACCAAGGATCCATCACTATTGGCCTGGGCTGGGCTGGGCCGGGGCCTGGGCCTGGGCCTGCCTGCACTCTGCACTCTGCACTCTGCACTCTGCACTTGAGACTCAGCCAGACTCTCGCTGACCCACCCAGAAATGCAGACACAGATGTCTAATTCGAAGGCGCTGCAGTGCCAGCACTCGTTCACAGCAGCAAACCGGACCTTGCACCAAAGACCACAGACAGACAGACCTTGACCACGAACCTTGACAATAACCTTGACCCTGGGCCTGGACAATCAATCACTCACTCAATCACTCAATCACTCAATCACTCAATCAATCAATCAATCAATCACTCAATCAATCAATCTTCTTCTTCTCGTCTCGTCCCGTCTCGTCTCGTCCCCGTGCGGAATAATCAATTCCTCGTCGTTCCTCCTCCGTTCCCTCGCCCTCCTCCTCCTCCTCCTCCTCCACACTCCACAGCAGCCATCGAACGAGGATCAGGATCCAGAACAGGATCCTCCTGCAGCGACCGACCTTTCTGTCTTGGCCATCCAAGAAAAAATAAGAATAGAACCGCAACCCAATGACAATTGCCTTTCTTGCAGCCTTTAGGATCATCGATTGCACACATACCGGTACTACTATTCATCCAGTCCTAGAGCCACTGCCTCACACCACACCGCGCCATTTCTCTTCCCCCTTCCCCTTCCACTTCTCACCATCACCACCACCACCACCACCATCACCACCACCCTCCTCTGCTCGAGCATTCTCGCGGTCACTACCGCTGCTGCCAGCATTCCGTACGACCTCGCGACCACTCGTCCATTCCCGACCAATCGTTACCGAAAACCCGTACAGCCGGTATCCAATCTGCCATCCGACGACTCGCTCAGCCATGAAGCAGTAAATGTGCACCTGTCTGTCGTAAGCCCGAGAGCAGTTTGCGCAACCTTCGGACCATTGGCTTCCCCGCTATATATATATATACACATATATATCTATATCTATTTCTATTTGCGAGTCCGACGGTCCTCATTTTCGTGCCTCGAAATCTTTTGGCCATTCAATCGACCTGATACCTGTATCTTTCTGCTTGCATCCTCCTTTCCGCTTAAGTTTCACAGCTCCCTGCGTGAATCCCGACTGTGAATCCGAACTCGTCGGTGGAATGCCCCCCCGGCAGACAATCTTGCCGAATTGTGGTAGTAAACAAGTTGCAGCCAGCAGAGTCCCAGGGATCTAGAAACACTCATTGACCTGCCATTGTGGCCTGGGATCTATCTGATTGAGGTATAATCCAGCTCCATGTTCCTGGGTCGCCCCTTTGACCTCTCTGTAGAACAAGACCTTCCGCACAAAAGGCTCACCACCCAAACACCATTCCATCCTTTTGGGGAAGCCTCTCCGTCAGTCACGAATACCGTTGAGAACTCCATAAGATGTCCCTGACACAAAAACCCGGAGGATATGGTGGGCCCCCGCCTCCCCGGTATCCATATCCAGCAGATAGGGACAATCATTCCAGGCCACCTCCTCCAAGATTGCCTTCGATGTCGTCGCTGCTGAATCACGAGCCTCCACACCACGAACCCCGGCCCAATCCATTCCTGGCTCGGCAATCACAACCTCCGTACGTGATGCAGCAGCAGCAGCAGCAGCAGCAGCAGCAGCAACCGCCGCAACATTCTCTATACATGAGCCAGGTGGACCCTAATGCTCTGCCGCAACACAATCATCATCTACCTCAACAAGCTCCTATGAACTCGCACCAGTCACAAACTCCTTCGCAACCTATGTTGATGCCTTTGCAGAGTCCACAGTCGTTGGCCACAGGTAACTCTCAGGGCAGTGCTTTGCCCTCCCAACCCAGTAGGCAAACCGAACCTGTTAGAAAGAAGAGGAAGGCTGATCGGGCCAAAGACGGCGAACAAGAATACAGCCAAGTTGAATCCGGCTACCGCCTTGCCGAAGCTAGCATCTCGCCCACGCAAACACCATTCAGTCAGGGGGGCCAGTACTCCCGCCGAGAATCAACCTTCTCCAACGCATCGTCACGGCAATTGTCCCAGGCACAGGGCCCCCAAGCAATGGAGATTTCTGGGCTCTTGAGCGAAGAGCCAAGGTACGCTAGTCATAGCCATACAGACTTGCAGGACCAACCTAACCACCATAGTCCTAGAAGGGAACGACCGCAGCCGAAGTTCGCGCTCCGCATGCGCCAGCAACCCCTTGCTGCGCGAGCCTGTGGCTTTGGCGAGCGTGACCGCCGGGTGATTGACCCGCCTCCAATCCTGCAGATGGACGTCAGCGGGCCAAACATGACGGCGACTGAGATCAGCACCTTGATACGAAGTCCGTACTCGGTTATCCATTGTACACTTTGGGATCCGGAGACTGACAAGGATGCCACCGCTATGCCGGGGACGACCGAAAAGAGGCAACAGCGACGACTCATGGGTACTTTGGTCGCGTCTCCGTTTGTGGGCAAAGACGAGCACGGCATGGAAGGTTGTTTCTTCACGTTCCCCGATTTGAGTGTTAGAACACCGGGAAAATACAGCCTCAGATTCGCCCTTGTGAACCTCGACCCCACACGCATGGGCCCGGGAAACAGCGTCCCGGTCCGAAGCACCATCTGGAGCAGCGAATTCCAGGTCTTCAATGCCAAAGACTTCAGTGGCATGAGAGCCAGTACGGCGTTGACCAAGACGCTCAAGAGCCAGGGATGTTTGATATCGGTTAAGAAGGGCAACGGCAAGCCAGGTAGTAGCCACGAGAGTGACGGAGAAGATGGGGACGACGACAACAATGATGATGGCCCACGCTCTTCTAGGAGAGCTGTAGGCAGACGTTCTAGAAGGTGAGCAAGCAGCTGGGGAAAGGCGTCGTCGGTATTGGCTTCGCGGCTCGCTTTCTGAGTAGCGAATGGGGTGGTCTCTTGATGATCGTACATGCGGTGCGTTGCGTCGCCTCGCATCGCGTTCCGTTCCGTTCCGTTCCGTTCCGTTCTCCGCTGCCTTTCGGATTACAAAAGCTATCGTGGGTACTGGTTTGCATATATAACGAGTTCAGCTTGGGCAAGCAACGGCGTTTTTGGATATACTTCTCTCTGGCCCCACGATTTATGAGATGGATGATGTTTGGACGATTTTCTTTTGGGCCTGACTCAAGCGTTGCGTGCGCGCGTGCTTTACTGACTGCCTGCATGGAAAGAATGGAAGGACCCATTTTCAGCTATTGGACCATGACACCAGTCGGTACCTTTGCGAGACCAAGTGAGATGAGATGAGATGCTATGAATTGCCTTGATGTGATTGATACCCAAGCATAGCCGGTCGCCTGTATAGGGATGGATTTCAACGTCGGAGGATGAACACAAGTACTTGTTTGCATTTGTTATTCCTGTATATATGTATATATTCTGCCTACATTTAAGTCTCTCTCTTGGCCCAAGAATATCAATCTTCACCTTCACTTCTATCTATCACGCCTTGTGATTGGCTTTTCCTAACCCACCTCTTGCTCTCGGAAGCTTTTTCACCATGACGATAAAGTGATACCGCTAAATACGAGACCACCCGGGTTCACAGGCAATGGGTGCACTGACTATAAATAGTTTCCCCTACTTTAAGAACCCCGACGGTTTCGAGGTCAACTCCCACTATTATCGATGTCTCCATGTGTTTGTAAGAATTGATTTGTGGAGCTCTCAGAACTATCGCACGGCATCTATAAATACATCTCCATACGGAGGAGCATCGGTAAAAGGTAACGTGGTTGCTGTGTCAGGGTCTGGAATTTAGTAAACAAAGAGCAAGAAATTCTTAGGAAGATTGAAAAAAATCCCAGCAACACGAACCAGGAATCAGATAGATGAGGCCAGGGCATCTGTTTCGGTTGCAAAGCTCCGTCCCCCTCGGAAACCGTTTCCAACGCTACTTAACCAAATGATAACGTTTATCGAGGCACGTGATCGTCAGAGCAACCACCCATCGCAAGCATCAGCCGTTCCCACCGAGCTCCATGCTTGCATCATCACCTCTTGCGCCGGAGCTTCCACAACCCACGCATAGAAGCATAAGAAGCTGTTAATCATACCGACAGACAATGAAGGAGAAGAATTAATTGACGCGCCCATTTCGAAGCTCCAGAACCGCTGCAAAAAGAGACCCCTCCCTCCCCGCCACGATCATGACATCCCGCCTCGTCCTCGTCATTGGAGACATGCACATCCCCGACCGAGCGATCGACATACCCCCAAAGGTACCTTACCTACCTACCTACCTCCCCATGAATCCTCTCCCTCACGAACAGAAGATCTGACCCCCCGTTTCCCCCCCCGCCCAGTTCAAGAAGCTGCTCACCCCGGGCAAGATCGGACAGACGCTCTGCCTGGGCAACCTCACGGACAAGCCGACCTACGAGTACCTGCGCTCCATCTCGCCCGACCTCAAGATCGTCAAGGGCCGCTTCGACGCCGAGGCCACGTCGCTGCCGCTCTCGCAGGTCGTCACCCACGGCTCCCTGCGCATCGGCTTCCTGGAGGGCTTCACCATGGTCGCGCCCATGGAGACGGACCTCATGCTCGCCGAGGCGAACAAGCTGGACGTGGACGTGCTGTGCTGGGGGGGCACGCACCGCTTCGACGCCTTCGAGTTTGAGAACAAGTTCTTTGTGAACCCGGGCAGTGCGACGGGCGCGTTTAGCACCGGGTGGGTGGCGGAGGGGGAGGAGATCGTGCCGAGTTTTTGTCTGATGGATGTAAGTTCACTCTCTGCTTGGAGAGGGAAGGACATGCGGGTGGGGGGGGTAGAGGGTATTGTGCTGACACGGCGGTGCAGGTCCAGGGGATTGGTTTGACGCTTTATGTGTATCAGTTGAGGAAGGATGCTGATGGGGTTGAAAGCGTCAACGTGGAGAAGATCACATATACCAAGGTTGTGGGCGGATCATGATACAGAGACATGGGAACTAGGAAGCCAGATAGCCTCGATTGTAGATTGAGGGAGGCGGGAGAACATGCGGCCATCAATTGGTTGAGGGAGGGGCATGAAGTCTGCCGACGGGTTGGAGGCATTACACCCAGGTACTCCGCTGAGAGGAGGCGATAGTCGTCATAGACATACATCCACACCTCGTTTGAAAATGGCATCTCGTCAATAGAGTAAGAGAATTCTATTGGTATCATATCCTTGCCTCCATCCAGAGAATTCTTCACCCAGTAATCCAAACCTGCTCCTTCGCTCAAAGTGTACAGCAATTGCTCATCCAACACGCAGAGAAAAAAAAAATTGGTCTTGAGAGTCATACAAGTCGTTCAGAGCATCATGCTTCGCCTCCGCACCGATATCCTGTCACTCCTAGATCCGCCAGCCCCGACGTCTGTTGCTCCGGTGGTGTTGGAAGATCCCTTCAACGCTTTATCCATTTCGTGCTCTTTGCCCATCTCAACATTCGATGAAGAGCTTCTCAGACCAAGTGTGGACTGTCTCCGATGAGATGCTGGCCTGTCGGGTTGCCTCGATGCGTCCATATCCGACATCTCATGGTCGCTCTGATGAGGCTGTTGAGCATGGTCTCGAGGATACCTTCTAGAGAATCGTGTCGGAGCCTTCCCCTCGATGGCTCTGGACGGCGCTTCTGCTGAAGAAGGCGAGGAACCTCGAAATTCGTAAATATTTAAAGCTGCCATACCGTTGCTCACTGCAGTCTCGTCCTCAACGGCCCTTCCCCTCTCCTTTTCTTTTGCAGCCGCTTTGACCCTCCTCGTTTCTGCTAGAAGTGCCGCAATTGCACCTCCTGAAGCCGTTTTGGGGATATCAAGCTCCGTTTGATTCAAAATAGATTCGCGCCGTTTTCGATGGGTTGTGATATTGCTAGGGAGTAGATCTGGCCTGGGTGTTATATTCCTCAGAGGGCTACTCTCTACTGTGGTAGACGAGGCGACTGGCATATCTTTCCAAGCATCGTCTGCCTCAGGCTCTCCTTTGATGGCTGGACTAGCTACACCAGTGTCCTCTTCAAGCTTGACCTTGGTTCGAGCCTTCTCTTTTTCATCCCTAGTGACGGCGTCAACCATTTCTCTGGTTGGCCTGCGCATCTTATCCCGAAGACTAGGTTCCGCATAACTGACAGCTCCGCGGGCTCGTCGACTTGGCCGCGTTGGCCCGATAGTCACAGGAGGCGGGGTGTCTCTTGCCCTGCCAGTTGATGGGGCTTCGGGAAGCTCCGACGAGAATTTGTCTGCAGCTGGTGCAGCTGGTGTGTCTGGCTGTACTTCAACAGTGTTGATCACCGGATCTGGAGAAGGTTGGATTCTAACAGGTTCTCGCTTCTTGTTCTTACTTGCATCTGTCGAATTATTCGGCCTCTGATTTTCCGGCTTGTTGACTTTGGTATCGTCCGAGGCAGGAATGTTTTTCCTTGGCGATTGGTTGATGCATTTCGGAGCAAGCACCTTCCTATTGGCAATTATGGCAGTGGTCTTATCCCGCGGGGCTCCTCTAGCAATGGCAAGTTCTTTAGTAGGTTTGTTACTAGGTCGCTCTGGTGGAGAAGCAGATTTGGTCTGGGACGTGTCCTCGTTCGCAACTCGGGTGTAGTTGAATTCATCCGGAGAGCTGGCATAAGATCGTCTAGAAGCATCCGTTTCTTCATCATCTCGGACACCGAGTTTCCGTTTAGCTCCCTTCTTGAGAGCCCCAGTCGTTTCACAGAACTCAGTTGCCGAGGATTCTGGCTTGCTAGCTCGCTCTTGGTCTAAGAGTCCACTACTATCCCGACGTTTTCGCCGTTGTTCTAGATTGACTGAAGTAGCAGGATCTAGACTGATCGTGTCCACAACATCTTGATTTTTGGTACGTCTTGGGAGGTCAATTTTGACTGGATCCTCATCGACAAATTGTGAAACTGGTGCAGGGCCGATTTCTGGAGACTCAGTGTTCCTAGCAGCTTCTGCATCGGTGACCAGGCTCAGGATCTCTTCTTGCCTGTAGCAGTGTTAGCGTTCCTCCTGGCTCGAAAGGTTGGAGGCCAAATACTCGAGGGTTCTTCTCGGAAAATATTTGTTTTCCAGGATAGGGGGTAATCGTCCTTCCTGGCCAGCAACTGCTTCACTCGGAGTGCATATGTTCTTCCACTTTTCATGGCCTGGACTTGTAGCTGGACTCGCTCTCGTAGCTCGTTCGCTCTGCCTTGACTGTTTTTTCGGAGACGGTGCACCAAGACCCGAAAGCAATGCACCAATTTCAAGGATTTTCTCTTCCAGCTGTGATTTCACTTGTCCAGTATGATCCACTATCCGCTGAGCATTTCCATTCTCTATTTCTCCATGCAGACGAATTATCTCCGCCCGAAGGCCTAAATTGTCGGCCAACAGCCTGGAGATCTCGTTCTCGAGGCTCCGAATGCGCAGCGACTGTGTAGAGTTCGCTCGAGCTATGTCGCGGTTCTGCCGCATGAACTTTCGTTTAACTGTATATAATATCAGTCTGCCATACCGTCGCTAGGAAACTGCTTCTCTTGTACTTACGAGACTCTATTGTTTCCGTTGGCGCCGCCGCGGGCTCATTCAGTCGAGCCATCTGCGATGTGCATGCGGCAGTGAGCGTGCTCTATTACTTCTTTCCCCAGAGATGATCATGAATTCCGCAGCAGCGTTGGAAAATTCTAGACGGTAGCAATAGCGGTGTTGTGGTTATGTGCGTGGCTAGGACCGGAGCTGTTGACAATGAAGAACGCAATTTCTGTGATTTGTTGACATTCAATTGAAAGCGGAATAGTGGAAGGCGGCCGCTAGTCTTCGCAAGGACTACCCCTGTCTTAGCAACCGCGGGCGCGGGATCATTCTGGCAAACAATCGTGGTAACTAAGTAGTTTGGCGAATTTATTAACGCTCGTTGGACCTTAGAACTTCCCCTAATCCCAAGGAACATACAAGTCGTCTGCGTAGAACGAGCCTCACCTTACTCTGAATCTATCATCCCGCAATCGCAAACATGTACAACTCTTCAAGACCGCTCCCATCCCACTTGCGACAAGCCTCAACATCTGGCAACACTGCGTCAACAGGCCAGTCGCCAGTTCTTCTTGCGCGCATAAATGAGAAGAAAGCAGAGTTGGAAAACCTCAAGCAGCTGCGGGATCTGAGCGCCGGACTAGCAGGACAGATGCAAATGCTCGAGGAGAAGTTATCAACATTATCAGACGGAACAGAAGGTGACATACTACCAACTACCTTTGGGAATAAAGGCACGTTACTAACCCGTATCCTCTCAGCTGTTGCTACAGTACTGGGAAACTGGCACAATGTGCTCCGGGCAATCAGCATGGCATCGAGTGAGTGCCGAAGGTCTGCAAATGCGATGGTGCGCGCTAACATTTTACAGTGAAGATACCAAAGCCCAAGGATTCCGACGATGCGGAAAGGGAAGAGCCGAAGGATCCAGTTACAGAGTCGGCATTGCCACAGACTCTTGTGAGGATACCGACAGAGCATGCGCCGATGCTTCAACAGGCCAGTTCGGGAGCAGATGAAGACTGAGGGTTGTCTTGATAGCTAGGACAAGATGACTTATGTAATCATGGCGACAGCCTGTGGCAAGGCACGATATGAAGATATAGGCAAAGACTTCCGAGAGCATTGAGTGGCGCCCATTTGGACTAGGCTTCTGGTCCTGGAGTTGCAAACTCATCGAGATGGAAGATGTTTATTAAGATACCCCAAGGCTCGCGGTTGAATGCGATTTGAGATGGTTGGCTTAATTGGGGTAGAGAGCAGATCACTAGACACCTTAGACACCTTACGTTCTCCCCTCGAATTTATGACGTTCTATCAGAAGTGTCCCTCGAACTCCAAAATGTTACCGAAAATTGTGGATATCCTGCTGTCACGAGACCAGCGCGTCGCGTCACATCACGTCGCAGTTGGGCAATGCCCCTCCCTCGCTTCTCCAGAGTCGCGGTTGCCCTGGTGATCAGCGCAGAAACAAAATGTTTATCGGTCAGGAAGGCGGGGAGGTCTGGGCGTAAGTTGTATCATACCGGTATCATCGTACTGATATGGTACTGACCTACCCGACCCTGATCCTTATTCATCCTCAAACTTCGCGCAACGATAAATCACAGCTTCCTGGGCACTGACTCGAGGCATCTTGGAATTCGCATCCGCATCCGCATCCGCATCCATCGTCTACCTACTCATCCAGCTATCGCACATCGCTCCGCACCTCTTCTACCTACCTGAACCCTTACTCCCGCCCCATCTTACATCACTCAGCCTGCATCGGTCGCAAACCCACAACCTAAACCCCGGACCAAGGGTGTCACAGAGCGAACCCTCATCTTCACCCATATCTACATCCACATCCACATCCACATCCACATCCACACCCATCCTGCCTCCGTCCTCGATCATGTCTCGAGTGGCCAGCTCTCGGACATTCGCAATTGCAGAAGACGACACCGCAACAGCTGCTCTTACATTTCAGACACCATCAACACCTACGCCAGCAGACCAATACTACCTTCACCCGATGGGAACCCGGATAGTCTCCAACACCGTCACCATGAAGTCGGATCCCTTGGAGGCAGAAGTCAGAGGTCTCAAGGCCGCATACAAGAGTGCATTGGGCGTCGGCAAGAAGCTCAAGAAGGGGAGGAGTAAGAGAAAAGACAGGCAGACAGACTCGCAGGAGACCGTTGACGACGAACTACCAGTAGTAGAGTTGGCTCTAGCTAGCCCTGCCCCAGCTTCACCAGTTCAGTCCTCTAGAGGTATCTATGCCAGGATTCCGTGGCGTTAGAAACTGGAAGCTAAATTGACTGCTAGGAACTGCTCCTGCGGCGGAGGACCTCGAGACCCACTCAATCAAACAGTCCGTCCGAACGACCCGTAATCAAGCAGCCAAGGCACAAGCAGGTCAGTATATCTATGATACTTCAGAATTCTTTAGGTCCGAGGATTGCTCAGTCATTTCTGAAAAGATTCGGGGCCTCGATTACATTTCCCTTTTCAGTGGCCGGCGTGCGAACTTGAACCGAACTGGAAAGGTTTCCACGATTCGCAAGTCACCCGATGGAAACTATAGTACTAATCACACCTTATCTTTAGCAAAGGACATTCAGTTAGAGTCTCATTTTGAGACTGTGGTAGCTTCAGCTGTTGATACTCTCAAAACAACAACACACAATGAAAATCACAAAGAGCAAGAGGCAATCTGGGTAAGACATCCCCCAGCAGGCTCGCCAGTCAAGACACTCGAAGAGATTGAAAAAGCATATGGCCCTAGTGATCCTGCATATTCAACCGATGTTGCAGATGAGGATTCCTTTGTAAAACAAATTATATGCCGGACGCCAGCAAAACCCGTCTCGCGGATCGAGGATTCTCTTGAAGCTCTTGATCAACTAGAAGAAGCACTTGATGCTCTGAACCAAGCAACGCAGACAGAAATAATGCCATCTCTCCAGAAGCCAAATTCACGATGGGCGCGAGACTCTCTCGAAGGTACGGGAAAGGAGAAGCAAGTTGGCAAAAAGCCTGCTGGAAAGCAGAATGCAGCCAAGGGACAACAACCATTGAGAACTGGATATGCTTCTGTGCGCGTCAAGTCTGCACAAAAGCAAGCCCCGACTCTGAAAAAGGCTGCCTCAATGAACTTCAAGCCAGCTTCAAGCAGCACCAGATCCAGCGAGGAGCAAGGAAAGGCCCAGCCTTCCATAGAGGCAGCTATCAAACGTCCAATCAGTCTGCTTCCACCCAAGGAGACTGCGAGGTCTACTAAGGCACCAACGCGCTCCAATTTCACACTTCCAGGCGAAGCGGTTGCACTCAAGTTGAAGGAACAGCGGGAGGCACGAGTAGCACAACGTCAATCCAGCGACGAGAGCTATCAGACGGTACGAAATGTTTGCGGTCCCAAGATTAAATCGACCAAACCACCTACCAAGCCGACCTTTGAGCTTCCTGGAGAAGAGGTTTCCCGAAGAAAGAGAGCAGCACATGAGGCTCGCCTCAAAGCCCAGGAGGAGGAGGAACGCAGGCGACGTGAATTCAAGGCTAAGCCCATTCGCAACAGCGTTGTCCCAAATATGGTACCTCGTGAGACTTTAGCCAGCCGGGCCAGACAAAGCAAAGGTGGCACTGAGCATATTGAAGATGGCAATCTGTCCATCTCGAAGCGAGGCTCAAATGTCGGTGCTCACCGACCATCCATTGCCGTTCTTGCATTAGCAAATTCCTCCGCTCCTCGCGCAAAAGGTACCTTCATACCCCCTGTTCGTAAGCTATCACCATCCGTGACTGCACCTTCTTCGATGACTGGTTGTCCCGTACAGCGAGTGCAGCGGGCTGAGCCTACCACGGATTCCGGACTCCGGAAGCGTGCCAAGGAAATCTATAACCGTGACGCTCTGCTCACTGCGGAGATGGACAAGGGAAAGAGGGACAGGGAAGCCGCTGCTAAGCGTGCCAGAGAGGATGCTGCGGAGAGAGGACGACAGGCCAGCAGGGAATGGGCTGAGAAATAGATGGCCAAAAAAATGGCAGAAGGTGACAAAGGAATGAGTGCCGGATACGGTCCTTGAGGCCAGCTGGGCTTGAGCCACAACTGATCCTTTTGAGAGTTACTTATGGAGCTTCTTGGGTGTGTCTGTGTCTGTTTTATTTTGCTTCGAGCCCGAGTTTTCTTTTTGGGGAGGTTTCTTTCATGCCGCCGATTATAAATGCGTTAGGAGTTTCCTTTTCATACATACCCCTTGGTGGTCGTGGCAGGGAGTAAACCGGCAGTTTTGGTTGGCTTGATCCTATGGAGTCTTGGAGGGGTTGCTTTTATGCAATGGCAAGGAAATAGCAAGGGAATCGGGACACAGTTAGTGTAAACACAGTGATTCCTGAGGTACTTTTTTGGTCTAAGGCCAACAGTGGCATTGACAACTCATACAGAATACAGATGTCTCTCATTACACACTTGATAGATAGTCTTTTAATTGCCTGCTCCTGTCGTGGGCCCTTCCTGTGCCAGAAGAACACGGATCTGAAGTGCATCGCGATAGGGGATCATCATCTTCTTGATAAAAGTTATACCAAGCTGCAAAGCACGGCATACTGGCAAGATCAAAAAGGGGATATAAATTTCATCCCATGTGTTCTTTCCCCTCCTCCCCCATTTACATATATAATCTCGGACCGTCCCCCAATCTATCATGTAGTGCGAGCACTTTCCTCCTCACCCAGAAGGACCGGTACAGTCATTCATCTCAGGCCCAGAAGCACTACCTGCTGGTGGATCCCAAGGCAGCAGCCATAACATTGACTCAGACAGCCAGGTTACTCGAATCTTTGATGACAGGTGATCGTCTACCATCTGCTATTACTCGAATGAGATACATAGTGCTCGGGTGCCTTGCGACGGGCGGCTTGAAGTCTGGACAGATATGCTTTGAGGGCGGTAACTGAGTTTCAATCAGCCCGCATCACGTGGTCCCGTAAAGCTCTCTCCCGCACCACACCTCAGCACTCCTGCTACCGTCAGCTCTAGCATCTGCATCCTCACTCGCGCCAGCGGCCTCAGTCAGTGATACCAGCAGTCGAAACGCTATTATGAAAACTGGAGTCCTATCTCTTACCGAGGAATGTCCTCTCACAACCCCCTCGCGGAGGCAGATGAAGTTCCGAAGCCAATCATGAAGACCCTGGCATTGTCGATCCGGCGCCGCCTATACTTACCTGTCCTCGCTTTCTTCAGCATCACAACGCTCTTCCTATTCATCGTGACGTCTACTCGCTTAGGTATCTGGAATCCCGAAATGCCAAAGGTGGTTAATAGACCGAAGGTTGTGCTCCGCCAAGGTAGGTTCGTGGGCATCGAGCTGAGTGATGGGTATCCGCAAGTCATGGACGCATTTCTGGGGATCCCCTATGGGATGTCGACGGAAGGAATAATGAGGTTCAAACCTCCAGTCCGGGTCGGCGCTTCGGAATTGGAGTTTGATGCTGGGGAGCATGGCAATAGGTGTCCTTCACTTGGGGACGAGCCGAATCAGAGTGAGGACTGTCTAAACCTCGACCTGTACCGACCAAAAGCTCGGAAGTCTGGCGATAAACTGCCTGTTTTAGTGGACTTCCACGGAGGGGCGTTCAATGGAGGGATTGGAGGCACATCGTGGCTGGTTTCTCATCTGGCCGCTTTGTCAGCTGAGCCTATGATTGCTGTGTCTTTCAGCTATCGAGTTGGAGCTCTCGGGTTCCTGTCGTCGACGGTTATGGCTCAGGAGGGTCTTCTTAACGTGGGGCTGAAGGACCAGGAGCTCTTGTTGGAATGGGTTCAGGAGAACATTGCCGCATTTGGGGGAGATCCTGAAAACGTGACACTCAGGGGGAGCAGCGCAGGTGCGCACTCGGTATGTTCTTTTCATGGCTCCTCCAGCTGATGATTTTTGTGCTGCCCATCTTGGTCTTGGTAAACATGCAAATCACCGGGGACTAGCTTCACTCTCGTTGAATCCACTCTTCAAGTCAAGCGTCAAAGAAACTAACATTCGCTAGGTCGGGCACCACCTCCTCTACAACACTGACAGATCTCCCCCGTTCGCACGAGCAATCATGGAATCTGGCGCAGCCACCGCACGGGCGGTCTACAGCTACTCGAACCCAATTCACGAGCTGCAATTCCGTGAATTCCTCAAGATCCTAGGCTGCCCCTCTAAGCCAGAGTCTGAGATTGTAACCACCCTCCGCGGCTACAGCACCGCCGAAATCCAAGCCGCCTCCAACGAGATCTTCAACAAATATAACCCATCCGTCAGATGGCCTTTTCAGCCCGTAATTGACGGCAAAGGGGGCATAATAGTCACCCGCCCCATCGATGCCTGGAAGGCAGGCAAGTGGCATAAAGTTCCTATCCTCACCGGGTAAGTCAAGTTCTCTTAGTATCTTACCATCCATAGGTTTTCTTAGGCGTGTTGACTCTTGAGACATGCTCATCTAGTATCTATCCGCGAAACTTCGGAAAGAGGCTTACTGACTCCTGGAACATTAGATTTAATACCAATGAAGGCGCAATATTTGTTCCAAAGACTGTAGAAACCAGTGAAGAGTTCTCTGATTTCTTTACGACCCTCCTTCCAGGATTAAGAGAGAAAGATATGTCGGAGCTACAAGACGTCTACCCAGACCCAACAATAGATCCACACTCCCCATACAAGGAAACGAGACCGGACCTAGGAGCACAGTTCAGGAGGTTAGAGCAGGCGTACGGCCAGTTCGCCTACATAGCACCTGTCAGACAAACAGTACATTACGCTGCTTCTGGGCCTGCGCCCGTGTATCTGTATCACTTCGCCGCCGAGTCTAGCGTCAATGGCGCCGACCACGGCTCGCACATCCCATTCCTAACGCACACACTGGACGACAGAGGCAAGAGCAAAACCGTCACCGAGATCTCTGGAACCATGCAGGCGTACTGGACATCCTTCATCACGAGCGGGGACCCGAACAAAGTCCTTGGCAAGTACCCCCTCCGGCGTAAATGGCCGGGGTACGTGAAAAGCCAGAGGGAGGGGGGCGACAGGAAGGGGGGAGAGGGTATGATCCTCGTGTTTGGGGAGGGCAATAACGAGGTTGCAGGGAAGAAAGACAAGGGAGAAGCGTGTCAGTTGAAAGACGACGTGTTTGCTGCCAAAGAGTCGGAGTTTTGGTGGGATCGCACAGAATTATTTGAGTTTTGAATCGAAAGTCAGAGGAAACTCAAGAAGCGAAGTATATACACACGAATATCGGGGTGAGGAGATTTACTGTATGAATAAAGTACCGAAGGAGACCGAATTTTCATAATATAGGTGGCGGTATATAGTGATGAACGGGTACAAAGTAAAGCTGCTCACATTTTCATTGGAAGTCAGTATCTCTCCACTTCTCAAAACGGCAAATCGGACTGGTGATCGCCTGGGCGTCCCTTGAGGCACTTCGGCTATCGGGTTAACACCGATCAAATTGTTAGTGAACGCGCCCGATTGGAGCTTTTGCAAATGGACCCGCCTCAAATATGAGCCACAGCTGCTTACAATGAAAATGAAAAGCTGGTGGTAGGCAAGCAAAGCACGGAAAAGGTAGAAGAGAGGGTTTTGTTATTGATTTGGAGCTTAGTTCAGTCTTGTCTTGACACTGCCTTTTTTTCTTTCTTATCGATTCTAAGGATTGAGTACATCACGAGTTTTATGTTATTATAAACATGCAAATTTGAATGCATTGACATACATGCACTGCATCCATAATCTGAGTGGGAGGCTACGATTCTCAACCTGTACGAAGTGCCTCCTACGAACCTCCAGCTCTCTCTCTCTCTCTCTCTCTTGCGGTGGGACAGAGTCTGGAAAGCTGAAACTGGAATCATCGACATGCGGCGGCGACTTCTCGAAGAGGTAATTCTTGACCGGCGGTTTCCGAAGCTCCTCCCCCCTCCGTCGACCACCACGCCGCGCACGATCATCTATCTACTACCGGTACGTATACTTGACGGGGCACATCGATTGAGAAGACCAAGAGGATTGGCGATGGATGAGAGGGGAGCGGGTGTAGGAGAATAAGAAAGGCTCCGTTCGAGCGCCCGAAGAACACGGTCTGGCGCCTTCGATAAAAGCGCTCTACAGACACACACCACACCGGCTTTACAAACGCAAGCCTTCTCAGCTCTCCGACGGAAGAGAACGAACGATGTTTATACTTATACAGACCGCGGCCGTCCGTAGGTAGGGCCACGCCTTTTTCGACAATCACCGAGAGACAACTCGGTGCGCATCATTTGAAATGCTTTCCAAAGGTCTGTAGAGAGTTTGCGATACGACGGGATCAAAGAGACCCGGGGCTAGCTACAAGAGAGAGCTTTTCCCCAACATGGTTTTCACTCTCGGTTGGATAGGAGTTTGTACGTAGTATGTAATTCCTTCTCCTTGGCACGATCGCCGTACCTTGTAGGATGTCTTAAGGTCTGACTGAGCATTGCGTTTTGGGTACTCCCCCGATGTGGATCAACACAATAACAACAACCATAACAACAATTACATAATCCGAGTCTTCGGTTATCAAAACTAGCGCTGTCTCGCGCTCATTTGATAGCCGAGACTTCTCTCTACGTACCGGTACTTCAAGAGCCTCGCATGCCTCAGGCCACCAGACACTTTCTACTGTATTAAAAAAAAACCGGACACTGCAAACGGACAGGCCCAGGCCCCTATGGAAGAGGGATGGGTGGGGGGCTGGGGGGAGGCTGGGCCTAGGCGACCGACTAGGTCGTGAAACGAGGCGAAACAAATGACTTTAAATAGGTCGATCAACCTCAACCCACGATATTTCAAGAAAAGGCCCGCCTCGGGGATTTTCTCTTGGGATGTTTCGGATGAAGCAAGACGGGGAGCAGAATGCCGATCAAGTGATTGACTTCGAACCTTGTCTTGGTTATACAGTAGGAGGCCGCAGGGTTTCGTAAAGGCGGGAGGGATGCCCGCTTGCGATGAGAATAAAAATAAAGTAAAAGCCGGAGTGGTGTAAGTGAGGAGTGATAGCTAGGTTGAACCGGGCACAGCTCATCGATCGGCTGCTTTTAGTCGCAGCATCCTCCTACTTGTGGTTTTGGCGGAGAAAATCCCTGCTAGGTTTTCCGCGGATTGGGACAAGCCCGTCAATAGCTACAGTGGCGACAACGCGCAAACCCTTTCATGACATTCTAACTAGCAGACATTCCGAAAGAAAGAAGAGAAGAAGATTGAGGAACCCGAGCTGACGAAGCCCAGCACCCAGTGCTCACTTGACCTTTTTCACGGCGTAGGGCAAGCTGTCGGATCCGAATGTCGGGCATCGACAGGCTAAGAAGTTTCAAATTTCGCAGCGGGGAGGCCGAGAGAATAAGTCGGTAGTCGTCAATGTTCACCCCCCCCCCCCCCCCCCCCCAAGACTTTCCACGAGCATCGTCGATGCCAAAAATAAAGAAAACTCGATATAGTCATCAAAAAAGTCGTTCTATTGCCAATGCTACTATACAAGACTGCAGACTCTTGATCCATGACGTGTTCAGTCTGAGTGTGCAGGTTGCTCGGCACGCCATTTCTATATGCACATTTCCCATCTCTCTTCGCTCAGTCAATACAACCAGCACAAGAGAGAATACAGAGAGAAAGGGGAAGAGAGAGAGAGAGACAGAGAGAGTAGACAAAAGCAGGTGTCCATAGACAACTCCCATCACCAATTATTACGAGAAAGACATTAGGCCAGAGTATGAAGGGTAACTCCAGGGTGAGCCTGATGAGGCAGCTGCGAAAAAATGCAGCTTCGCTCGCCGGGAACACATGGCATGATGAACGATGTTGCTCATTGACTGTAGAAAGAACTGAGAATGCAACGCTGGTTTCTCGTCGTGTTTGTGTTGGGTGAAGATGAATTGGAAAATCAAATATGCTCGCTCAAATGCCGGGAATGTGTGTGGTGCCAATTTCGGAAGGCACCACGGTGGGAAAACGAGTCAGTCGTACCCAATGGTCATGATTGTCTGAGACCCCATTGAGGCTTGAGTGTTGCTGCTAGATCATCTTTAGTGAAGACCACGTCAGCTGGAATTTTGCTGATGCGGTAGGCTCCGTTACGGATCGCGCTTTGCTGTCTGGCAGAGATTCCACTGCGGTTGCTTCGGATACTGCCGGCATCGCTCATATTCTCGGGATCGAGGAACTTTCGGGGGGCTGCGAAGTCTAACGAGGTGAATGTGCCAGATTTTCTGAGCATGTGTCTATTTTCGCCATGAGTACTCAATCATTACAAGTTGGGGCGTAGGTTACTTACGGGCTGGGCATTGGTGCAAGCTCCTCAAAGGCACTGGCAGATGGCGTGTATACCGGCACCATCGGCGAGTATGGACGTCTCTCGCCAAGTGGGCTCTCAGAGCGGCCAGCGACACGATCTCGGTACGTCTTAGGGGGCGCAAAGTCAAGAGGGTTGAGGGTGAACGAGTCGTCTCTCAGCTTTGAAGGAGTGGGCAAGGTAGTCAGGTCGGCTGGTGGGGGAAGCGGTCGCTTTGGGCCAGCAGGAGGGCCCATGCGTCCAGATGCTGACGAGTAGGCTCTTGCCCCGGGAGGAGGTCCACGACCACCACTCGCCGTGCTCATTGCTCCCATCGAGCCTTGGCGTCCTCGAGGTTGGCCTTGGCCTTGGAATCGTGGTGGTCCACGAGGAGGAGGGGTCATGGCACGACGGGTCATTGGATCGGCATATGGCTTGTGAGGCATGGGCATGACGAAATTGTTCGATTCCGAGTCATAGTAGGCGGCTTCACCAAGATAGTTCTCATCGTAGTCCTCATAATACTGCCCTTGTGGAGCCGGCTTAGACTCGTCGAAGTACTCTTTATAGAAGGAGCGGATTCTGTTGGCTCTGGTCTCAGGATCTTCGGACTCGGTTGCAGCATTTGGAGGCAACGGTCGAAATCCCATGGAAAGTCGCTTGGGATCGAATCCTGGGGCACCTAGGCCAGCCTGCGCAAATTGCTCAGGGGGGACATCCATCGAGTAGCGTTGACTCCTCATAGCCTCGCCGTTGTCACGGCCAGGAGACGGAGGAGTAACTTGAAAGCCTTCGCCGAACTGACCAGCGTCCTCAACATAGGCTTGCTGGGCTTGAACAATTGGCATCGATTCATTCCGGGGAGGTCGAGACTCGGCAGAGGGGGCGTCAGTATTGATGGGTGCTGGAGGCGACTTGCGAGCTGAAGCGGCAGGCGGGGCTTGTTGACTTGGAGAAAACGGTGCGGGCGGGAGCTCACGGGCGATCTGTCTTTCTTCCTTCCCACCGTGAGATGAGGCAGGAATGTAGGCTTGGGCTGGCTCGGCAGGGTACTGAGACGGATCGAAGGAGCCGTCAGCGACCTCAGGGGGGCTCTTGGACGCATTGCTCCGCGGCAGAGAGGCTTGTCGAGGGGGAAAGGTGCCAGACGCGGGTGGGCCTCGCCCCATCTGCCCGGCATTTGACAGGAGGTCCGAGGTACCAAGTTCCTGCAGTCTGGAGGGAGCGGCACTGGAGCTCGTGTGGATAGAAGAGCCTTGCTTAGAGAATGATCGCATCGAGTTGGTGTCACCTGGGTAGTAATCCTTCACGGGCCGGTATGGGTCCTCTTGCTCATGAACGTTTCTCGACAGCGAGTGGATAGACTCTCTTGAGTTATGCAGTTCCGGCGGGAGAAGGTAAGGGCTATTCACCTCCATCCCCATATCCATTGATATCTGTCTCCGGCTCATCCCCCCCGACTTCTCGTCTCCAAAATCCATGGCAGCAACGTTGGGGCCCTTCCTCTTCTTTCGTCCAGATTGTGGCACATCTCCTAGACCAAAGTCCATGGAAGCGTGTCGGTCGTTGGCATCCTCCAGCCTTTGCCTTCGGACATGTCGGCGGTGAAGCAGGAAGAAGGTCACCGCAGCACCGATGACTGGGACGCTGTGTCATGTTAGAATTGGGGGACGATTTTGGCCGCCCGGGTTTATATGTACTTACGCAATACCGAGAACGATAGGTAGCGTGTAGGTCGACGGGCCAATGGGCTTCTCACACTCATTCTCTCCACAATCTTTTCGTTCGGGCTCCTGTCGCGGCTCTACGATGTGGCCCGGAGCAGCGACGTTGATTATGGATTCCATCCGCCCTACAGCCCGAAGAGGGAGCGGGAGAGGGACCGGAATCCGGGGCTCCAGCCTAGGAACGCTGTTTGATGAGTGTAGATTCTCCATAACGAATACAGATACCGTCGGCTCGGACGCCGGATGTTAATGGATTTAGAGATGACTGGATGGATTGTATTTGGTATCGCGACGGCGGGAGTCGAGAATTGAGGCGGGTGGGAGTGCGGTGGCCGTGACTCCCGCGGAAGGTGCGACCAAGAAGCGATGATGGCAGTTGCTTCGTGTTGATGAATTCCTCGTTTCGTGAATATGGCTCTCGATCTTGAAACGACGCCGACGGGATGCGGACGATGCGAGCGACGCCGACGACGACGACAGCAGCAACAACAATAACAACAGCAACAACAACAAGAAGAAAAACAACAACAACACCAACACCAACAGGCGGATAGATAATTTCCTTGTGATACAACTCGAAGGAGTGACTAGAGTGAGTGCATCAGAAGGGAACCAAAGGAGTGACAGGCCCGTCTGGCGAGCGGTGGGTGGTGTGGAATTGGGGGGGAGTGGTGGTGGTGGTGGTGATACAGGTTAGTTGAAGGTGAAGGGAGCGAGAGAAAGGAGGACGACGACTCTCACATCAACACGAGAGAGGGCGGCTGGTTGATTTGGCTGAAGTGGGTCCATTCAAACGAACGGACGAGGGGTGGGGCATGGCGCAGGGGTGGAGATTGTGGGAGAAGGTGGAGATGGTGGGCATGCGGCGAAATGAGCCATGCGCCGCCCCTGAACTGGACCCAATCTCGGCTAAAGTACTACTACAAGTACGGTACGTTGCTGCTCGGGACGGATCCGAGGAGAAGGGAGAGAGAGAAAATGGGTTCTGTTCCTCTCCTCTACTCTACTCTACGTAACGGTCCCGTGTGGACGCGAACGGTTTGCGATCGATTGTTCATCGCAGATGCGCGGACCTTGTGCCGGTATTTGTAAAAGTCCGGACGGAGCAACTACCGTTCTTCTACTAGGTACCGGTAGTAGGGTGTAGTAGTAGTAGTAGCAGTCGTACGGACTACCTACTACTTTGTCCCAACTCGCTCACCCACCCCTAATAATAGGTATCACTGTTGCCGTTTTTGATGCGAATACGGGGTCCGCGTCTGCGTCCGCGTCCGTGTCCGTGTCCCAGCTCCGGGCCTGGTCCTGGGCCTCGGCTGTCTCGGGCCGGGGGATATTCCGGGCGTCGCATCTGTCGTCTCATCCATCATCACATGATTCACATTAAACAACAGGCCTCTGAGCCTCGAGCCTCGAGCCTCGTGCCTCGTGCCTCGTGCCTCGTGCCTCACGTGCGTGCGTGCATGCGTGCAGAGAAGGAGAGCAGGAGAGAAGGAGAGAAGGACCAAAATTCGCCTGGACTTGGACTGGGACTGGCACTTGGACTTGGTTTGACCTGAATCCCCTACCTTAACCCTGTCAACATGTGATGACAACCAAAATGGCCGAATTCGACCTCTCTGCCACCTTCATCCCCTCCTTGCACAAACCCTCCTCCCTTCTTCCCATTGCTCGGCATAGGGAAACCCTCCTCTATCTCATCGAGACATATCCCGTCACTATTGTCGTCGGCCAAACTGGCTCAGGGAAGACTACCCAGATCCCCCAGTATCTCGAGCAGGCAGGATGGTGCTCCGATGGCAAGATCATCGCCGTCACCCAGGTAGGTAACTAAGCTACCCACCCGATCGATCCCCTGCTTCGTCTCATCTGGAATACCCGCTGACACTTCACTTCTCAGCCTCGTCGAGTTGCAGCAACCACGGTTGCAGTCAGAGTGGCAGAAGAATTTGGCTGTGAAGTAGGCAAAGAAGTCGGGTACTCCATCCGATTTGAAGATGTCACGTCGTCAGCAACACGCATCAAGTTCCTGACCGACGGACTCCTGCTGCGAGAGGCTCTCGTCGACCCCTTACTCTCGCGGTACTCCGTCATCATGGTTGATGAGGCTCATGAACGATCTCTGAGCACAGATGTCCTTCTCGGCGTCCTCAAGAAGATCCTGAAGAGGCGGCCAAAGGATCTACGGGTCATCGTCTCCAGTGCGACACTCCAAGCTGAGGACTTTCTGAGATTCTTCACGGCTCATGCAGAATCCCGGCCCAAATCTGCGACAGACGATGCCATGACTCTGGATGATTTAATATCAGGTAGTTCAAAGCCTAAAGATCCGGTCTCTGATGGTGACATTGGCCGCATCATCAATCTCGAAGGGAGGATGTATCCCGTCGATGTCCTCTACCTTGAAGCACCTGCGGAAGATTATGTCGAGAAAGCCGTTCAGACGGTCTTGGACATTCATACGAAGGAGCCCGATGGTGACATTCTCGTCTTCCTCACAGGAAGAGAGGAAATAGACTCGGCAGTCCAAGCGGTTTCGGAACGAGCAGCAAGACTTCATCCCCGTGCCCAAGCACTGATGCCACTGCCGCTTTACGCTGGGCTGTCAACAGAGCAGCAGATGTATGTTTTTGAAGGCGCACCGGAGAATACAAGAAAAGTGATCTTCTCTACCAACATTGCGGAAGCATCGGTCACGATTGACGGAATCGTGTATGTAATAGACACTGGCTTCGTTAAGCTGCGTGCCTATCATCCTCTGACAGGTATCGACACCTTGACCGCTACCCCCGTCTCGAAGGCATCTGCCACCCAAAGAGCGGGTCGTGCAGGTCGAACCAAACCTGGAAAATGCTACCGGCTTTACACCGAGGCCGATTTTCAAGCCTTAGATGAAGCCACAGTGCCTGAAATACAGCGATCGAATCTCGCACCCGTGATCCTCCAATTGAAAGCGCTCGGGATCGATAATATCGTGCGGTTCAACTTCATCACCTCCCCCCCTGCGGAACTAGTAATCAGAGCTCTCGAACTCCTTTTTTCCTTGGGCGCTCTAGACGACTATGCCAAACTGACCAAGCCCCTGGGAGTCAGAATGGCAGAATTGGCAGTCGAGCCCATGATGGCCCGAACCCTTCTCTCAGCATCCTCGTTCGGCTGCCTGAGCGAGATCCTCACCATAGCCGCCATGACAAGCTTGGGTGGCAACATTTGGTTACCCCATGACGGCGAGAAGAAACGGATGGAGACCGCACGCCGTAAATTCGCAGTTGAAGAAGGTGATCACATCACACTCCTGAATGTATATCAAGCCTTCGTGGGCAAGGGCCGCAAGGAAGCGAGGTTCTGCCACGATAACTACATCAATTTCAAAGCCATGACGAGGGCAGTCAGTATTCGCGCCCAGCTGAAGAGGTACCTTGAGCGATTTGGCATCAGCGTGGACGAATCTCTCTCTTCGAATGCAAATAAGCAGCCGTTGTCCATCGGTGGCCCAGATACAAGCGAGCAGATCCGACGGTGCTTGACCACCGGTTTCTTTGCGCACGTAGCGAAGATGCAGCCAGATGGCACTTTTAGGAATGTGGCTGGAGGAACGATCTTGCATGCTCATCCGAGCTCGTTGATGTTCAATCGGAAAGCCGACTGGGTCATCTTCCACGAGGTGATGGAGACGGGGAACAAGACTTTTATCAGAGATGTGACGAAGATTGAAAAGGGATGGTTGATAGAATACGCGCCGGACTTTTACAAAATTCGATAAGATCCAATTTCTACCACCAACGCCACGGCGGGCTGCGACTGTATGTTCATGAGCGTGGGGTGAGAGGTGTTTCACGTTTGTCCATGTCCTTGTGCCTACTCTTTCCGTGCCTTTACCCCCAGTGACTTTGCCTCTCCCTGCTCATCTGCCTGGTTCTTTTTACCCTTTCATTTCCTATATAGCTAGGTACTGCTGTTGCCACTCCACATTCCATTGTAGTTCCTGCGGTATACTCTGGTTGTTTAGCAGTAGCCGCTCCTCACGTTCATCTTACCTCAATACCATTGCTCTTTCTCGCCTTCGACTTCCGACCTCGTCCTTTCCCGCTGCCCGTATTCTTTTCCTTTTACCTCCCATGGCCCAGAGACCATTCGCATGCCGCAGACCATCAATTCGGGCAGTGAGTCGAGTCGACCTGCCTCAAACAACCTCATCTAGCGAAGACAGCCCATACGTCGCCGCGCATCTCCCACGTTCAATTTCTCCTGTGTGTCTATCTACCGATAGCCAGGAACTCGCCCGCCCACACCCCTCCCCGGCTCTCGTCCCTCCAGTTGTCAAGTCCACATTCGTCTTTCTACCCGTCCACATACACCCTCATACCTCTTCCCCTCTCCTCGATCCAGGAACACGGAAACGAAAGAAAGGGAAGGGGGGG